AGAGAGAGAGAGAGAGAGAGAGAGAGAGAGAGAGAGAGAGAGAGAGAGAGAGAGAGAGAGAGAGAGAGAGAGAGAGAGAGGAAATGCGCCGCTGCGTGCTCCAGTTCGTTCGCTGCGGACATCACAGGGGACACGCCATTGCAGTGTACCCACGCAGCACGCAAGGGCGCAGATCTGACCGAACCTGCCGTCTGGCCGCCGCCGCGGCGCTTCGCGGCTCATTTCGAATTTTCCCGCGCGCCGTGACAAGTGCATCCGCCAATGAGGAGCGGGCGTGGCCAATGCAAAAGTGGTGTCGCCGTGTCGATTGGGGGCGCCCCGTGGTTGGAAGGGGGTCGGGGGCGTCCTGAAGGCTACTCGGGCGGACGCGGCGGACCACACCCACGCCAGGTGCAATCATCACCGCGCCAACAACAACAACAACAACAGCGTCATAACCCAGGTGATTTTATTTTTTATTAAATTTTATAAAGGTCCTTATAAAAATTTATTGGAGTTTTATATGATAAAGTAAGCTTTTATAAGGGCATTCGTATAAAATTTCATAACATTTTATAAAGATCTTTATAAAATTTTATAAACACCTTTATTAAATCTTATACATGACTGTATATAATTATATACAGCGGTATGCAATCTGTATATGGTTGAATGAAGCGATTGGTCATGTATTAAGTTTTATACAGGTGTGTATAAAGTTTTATAAAGGGTTTTATAAAAGTTTATACAGGGTTTTATAAAGGTTTATACAGGGTCCCTTATAAATTTTAATACAAGTTTGTACATTTCAATTAAAAGTTAATAAACATTTATAAATGTTTATAAGAACCTTTATAAAATTTTATAAAAAATAAAATCACCTGGGAACCAGCAAAAACAAAAAGGACGACGCGTAATCCGTTTTTCCCACGCCATATCCTGTCGGCGAGAGGGTGGGCGGAGGCGGGCCGCGCCCTAAACTGCCGAGCGGTGAAGCGGTGGCCATCCGTCGCCTCGAACTCCGGGGCACTCCAGCGGCAGGGAGGCAATCGGTGAGGCAGTGCGGGACGAAAGCCAATCAGAGAGGCACACACAACCTCGCCTCCCGCCGGCCGAGACCGTGACACCGAGAGAGAGAGAGTTTTTTTTTTAGTTTATAACAGGATTTATTGGGGGGTTTTTTAGTTCACAATACGGGCCAAAACGGGGAAGTGTAAAAATTTGTCACAAAAAAATCATGCTGTTTTGTTGTCTCTTGAGGTATCTTTGGTGCATGATGCAGTGTTTTACAATTTGTTAGTTTTTTAGAGAGAGAGAGGGGGAGAGAGAGGGAGGGAGAGAGAGAGAGAGAGAGAAGAGAGAGAGAGAGATTTAGTAGGTAGATTTAGTAGAGAGAGAGAGAAAGAGAGAGAGAGAGAGAGAGAGAGAAAGAGAGAGTGTTCGGCATCAAGCTGCTCCGCAGCCCCGCGAGGCCCTCATCGTGTTCCCCTCGAGTGCGCCGGCTTACTGTCGCCCTCGCTCTGCAGCCGTACGAGGCACTGGCGGGGGGAGGGGGCCGGAAAACGGAAGCCTCCGCGCCCCCGCCGCCCTCTTCACACACACAGACTAAAGCGTGCCCCGTTACTCGGCGAAGACGGCCTCACACTCTGTGTGTGTGTGTGTCACCTGACGGAGCCCTGCGCCGCCGGCGTCGTCTTGGTGTCGCTGCACTCACTGTTCGGCGACCCCTCCCTCCCTCCCTCCCTCCAGCCGCGGCCCGCCCGTTTGCCTTTCTAACCATTCTGCAGAATCGAAACGGCTTCATCTATTCTTGGTCGACGACGGGCGGCGAGTGGCCCAAGCGCTCTCTCTCTCTCTCTCTCTCTCTCTCTCTCTCTCTCTCTCTCTCTCTCTCTCTCTCTCTCTCTCTCTCTCTCTCTCTCTCTCTCTCTCTCTGAGTGTGTGTTGTTGCACGTGTTTGTGGTTTCTGAGGCGTGGGGGCCTGCCCAGGCATGGCCCAGGCCTGCCGCTTATCGAGCCGCGTTCGAGTACAAAGGCGGCCCGGCGGTTTGTCTTTCGAGCCCCGCTGAAAAGAACAAAGTTACCCTTTCAGAAAAGCTCCTCGCGCGCGGAAATGGAAAACCGCGGGACTTCCCCCTGGGTGGGCGCCTCGTTGAGCGCACGGCGCGCCTCGGCGCCTTGCGAACGTGTGGCCCGCATCAAGCCGGGCGGTGCACTTTCGACGCTGTCTCTCGCACTCGTCGTGGGGCGCTCCGCTCGGCTCCGCTGGGGGTGCGAGAGAGACAGGGCGACGAAGGAAGCAGCAGGGAGTGGCTGTCCAGAAACACACGCGGTCGCTATCGGCCCATCGGTCGCTGGTTCTAGACGGCCCGCCGCGGCGCCGACACTAAGGGACCCCTAGGGTGAAGGCGGCCCAGTGTCGCTCTGTCTCTCTCGCACACATGGGGTGCACCTCATAGGTGCGACAGAGACAGAGCGACGAAAAACGACTCTCGGAATCAGTCTGCTGCTGCTGCTGTGCGTTGGCCGCCGCCGCCAGCACTTTATGCTCATTCGCGGGGCAGCTGCGAACTCCTGAAAACGACCAGCTGCCCCGCCCGCCGCCGCCATCACGCACCCCGTCCACGACCCCTAGCGGCTGGCGTACGCACGCACGCGCACGCACGCACACACACGCACACACACACACACACGCGCGCGCGCGCACACACACACACACGCACACACACACACACACACACACACACACACACGAAGGGAACGGCTCTTAATTGCTGCTGTTCGCTCCTCGTCCAATGTCTCTCTCTCTCTCTGTCCGTGCCTGAATGGCCCGAATGGCCCGAATGTCTGGCGGTGGTTGTGCCGACTGACTCGGTTCACTCTGCTCACTCTGTTGCCGGCAGCCTTAAACTAAGGTAAATAAAAGCAGCGTGTTAGCGCCGCCACCGACGCCTCGGCTAGAGTGGCGCTTGCGTGGTTTATCTCCCCCTCCCCCTCCCCTCGGTCCTCGGTCCAGCACACTGATTCCGAGGGCCGCTCTCGTCGCTCTGTCTTTCTCGCGCCTGTGCAGGACGCCCCATGCGTGCGAGAGAGACAGAAACGCCCCACAGTGGGCCAGAAGACCGGCGGAGGCGGCCAAAACTCTAGACGCGTTTTGAGCTCCAGAGCCGCTTAACAGGACTCGAACCGACCGTGTGACCCCACCAATGAATTCCTCGTTCGGAGAGGAATCCATTGGTGGGGTCACAAGTTCGGTTTGAGTCCCATTTAGCGACTCCGGAGCTCAAAACGCGTCTAGAGTTTTGGCCGCCTCCGCCGGTCTTCTGGCCCACTGTGCGCCCCTCGGAATCAGTCTGCCGGCGTTTATTGGAAACACTCCCCCGGCCCATTAGATGAAACGGTTTTAATCTCACCCGTTGCAGCGCTGCAGCCTTATGGTTCACATCGTTCCCGAAACGAAAAAAGAAAGAACCAGAACGAACGATGCACGGACACATCCTTCATCCCTGACTGCAGACCGATTCCGAGAGTCGTTTTCGTCGCTCTGTCTCCCTCGCACTCATGGGGCGTCATGTGTTAGTGCGAGAGGGACAGAGCGACGAAAAACGACTCTCGGAATCAGTCTGCTGGCCGACATGACACCGGGTAGGCAAGGCACTTTTCGACTTCGGCCGTGCCGGTGGTACACTGGCGGTACGGCAGCCCGGCCCATAAAACCAGGACTCCAATTAAGCAAGTCGTCAAAAGGTGTTCTGACGTGTCTTTTGACGAGCGTCGTGGTCGCTGGGTAATCTAGCGAGATAAGCCCCACGAGAGTTCAAACGGCACCAATATTCAAGGTGACATAACGTGCTGCTTTGTCTCTGTCGCACTCATTGGCAGCCAGCACTCACCGATGCGGTGTCTCCTCGTTAGCCTTTTAAATCGCCCCCCAGCGGGTATCCTTTGTTTCTCTACGGACGCACGAAAATCCACAAGGCGCGACGATGACGTCAGTCAGGTAAATCCATAGACGAACAGTCTGGCAACCCACGGCACTGTCACCTCACGCACGCACACACACACGCAGAGGCAGGGGGACTGCCGTTAGACACACTCTAAGTCGCCGCGACGTAAAAGTGACTCGCGAAACGAAGCCGCGACGCGACGGTCGCGCGTGCCGGCACCACGTGTGCGCCTACACTGTACGCCGCGCGAGCCGAGCAGCGGGCCCGGCATGTAAACACACGTCCGTCCGACGCGGACCGTCACAGCTGACTGAGTGAAGTGGCGGTGGTGGCGGAAGGGGAGGGGTGAGGCGCGGCGCGGCGCGGCGGACAGAGGCGCCGGCTGGGGCGGCGGGGGTGGAGGTGCCACCGACATCAGCTCCCCCGCTACGGCCCCGCGCCGCCTCGGCCCGCCCAGCAGCGCGTCAGGGTCAAGCGCAGCAGTAATGGTCTGACCGTGCTTTCGTCGCTCTGCCTCGCTCGCACTCACGGGGCGCTCCGTAGGGGAGCGAGAGAGACAGAGCGACGGGTACGGAGCTCGGTCCGCGTGCCCCCTATCGCGCACCTCGCGGGCCCACCAGGCCCACCAGGCCCACTGAGGTCCACGAGGCTGCAGCGCTGCAGCTGGTACCCGCTGAAGCTACGCTAAGGTCGGCCGGCCCGGTGCCCGGTCGATAAACAGAGCGCTTGTCAGTGTAGGGGCCAAGATAGGGTGGCGAACGTTTCTTCACACCGCGAGGTACGCGACGTGTGAAACTCTGTGACCGGCACTTGGATAGGAAGGGAGAGGCATCGCACTGGCGGCGGGACCTCGCTGCTGTCGTCGTGGACGCGTTGGACCGGAGCGCCCGGTAGGTAGACCACCCCTCTCGCACCCGTGCAGGCCGGCGGGCGGCCCGGCACGGCGCCAAAACAAAGCCGGCTCTCGCTGCCGCCGCCAGGATTTCTCATACCGCTTCCGGCCTTAATGGCTGCCTTGTTTTGATCGCCTCTCTCGTCTGCTCGTGACTAGACGACCGGACCGGACCGGACGAAGGCATTATTTGACAGTCATGTCTGGCCGGTTATTGATCCAGCAGGGACGCAGAGCCATATTCACGAGCCTGCTTCGCTGCGGCCGCGAGCAACACCCGTCCCCGTCCCTGGCAGCGCCGGTCCTGCGTCTTGAAAGTGAGTCTGGTCCCCTTACAGTGTGCCGTATCTCCGTGCCGCGACGGAGGCGGTTACACGCGCATGTTTTCACAAAACGAGCGTTACTTCGAGGCAGGATGCCGTGGTTTGGTTATGTCGTTCCTGGCCGTAAGTGGCGACCGAGAGTGTTGGAGCGAACGTTGCACCTGTCATTGTCAGAAATGGACGGTCGATGAATCGCGTCCACTGAACAAGTGTGGTTTCCGTCTGTACCGGCCGGGGTTGTCAGGGTACTTGGGTTCAAGCTTAGCTGACAAAAACCAAGTTGGGCGATTTCACTCGTAAATTCATAACTTTTGTTTCTCGATTCTTTCTCATCTTGATCTGTATGACACAGTGTGAGATTTTAAGGGAACTTAAAGACCGTATAATTTCATCAGCGGTAAGCACCGTTACCTTGACTGATTATTTTTCTCGATCGAATAAACTGAAACCATCTCCGAAATAATACTGAAGTGTTGGGCAAGATATGGAAGTTATGATGTCTTAGTCCACTTTTTCAATTATTTCTGGAAATATTCTTTGCCGACAGGTATCAAAATTTACTATTTTCCTGTGATTTATATAATCTAATATTTTGCAGGTTTCCAGCGGTCAGAGATAGGACCCTTCATTACCACAAGACGCACAATGTCTTCTACAGGCAGTCGAGATCTGCACTATGATGATATTGTGAGCTTATCATCAAAGAAAGAAATTATCCTCATAGATGTCAGGGAACCTGACGAGATTCAAGAGACTGGAAAACTGCCAGGAAGCACGCACATTCCATGTAACTATTTTTGTATAATGTATTGAATAACTCATGTGAAAAAAAAACAAACGTTGTAATACAATTTTTGGCTTTGCTTTATTTTCAGTGGGTGATGTACCAAATGCTCTCAATTTGAATGATGGAGCTTTCAAAGAAAAGTATGGCATTGAAAAACCTGGGTTGGATGCCCCCATTGTATTTTCCTGCCGCTCTGGAAAACGTAGTAATGTTGCTCTGCAGAAAGCATTGGCTCTTGGATTCTCCAAGTGGGTCTACTCAATTTTTAAAAATCATTTGTGTCCTGCAGAAATTAATTGTGCTAATTTTCTCATTCCTTCTTTGCTTCAGTTCTCGTCACTATGCTGGTGGATGGCTTGACTGGGAGAAGAATACTAAATGATGTGTTATATTGTACAAATTTATTACTATTACATACCAAGCCAGTTGAGAGTTGACTGCAAGTTCAAGAAAATCTCCTTGACCGCATGATGTGAACCACATCCATGAGAAGCTGATGTCCATGACCATCGTGAGCTTGTTATACTCTGAGCAAGAGACTTTAATTTTGTAGTGTTTTAGTTTCTGATGTTTTTAATAAACAATGATTTGACTCTTCAGATCTTGTCACCCCTTATTGTCTTGATATCCATAATCATGGATGTACATATTTATAAAAAGATTTATTTACACATTATACACTAAACATTAGCCTTGCCAGGGCGATCATCTCTCAGCCATAAACCCATGTACATGCATTTGAATACATAACCATAATACATATAAACATCTAACTGGGAAAGTCAACAAGACCCAGATAAATAATAGTATTCAAGCTGAAATACCAATGTGGTTTTGCTTTTGTGCTTTGTTTCAGGTGTGCATAGCTGACTTGCTGATTTCTGTTCATCATTCCTGTCCCAACAAACAGGGTAAGTATTTAATTTAACCAGGAAAACTCAGTCTTGTATCTTATACTGGAAAGAAACTAGATGGATTCTAGATGGAAAGAAACTAGTGTCTCATTTTTTTCATGAGAAAATGAATTTTTCAAGTGTGTTAAATTAATGTTTGGGTTCATTGGATAGATACAACATAAAATGGCATCTTCAAAGCGTGTCATTTTGGCAGAAGATGTAAAGCTTCTGATGTCACAAGTCGCTGGACATACACATGATAAGGAAAAAAGTACTCCAGGTAGGAGCACAGATATGCATTACATAACCATGATAATGATAAACTTATTTTTGTGGTGTTGGCGTTTCATTTTGGACAGGTATGCTGAAACACAAGGATGGCAACATTTTGAAGCCCCTGTTAAAACCGGTGCAAGCCAAGACTGAAATTGAGTTCTATGAAGGAATAGCCACATCTCCACATGCAGCACTTTTATCTTTCGTACCCAAGTATTATGGGATTGGCAGCATCACTCTGCAATCCTTTAGTGAGCAAATAATCCAATGCTTGTAACCAAACAATATTTTCAGGAAAAAGCTTAAACAAAAAATCCTTTGTTATAGGAGGTGAAGTCTTGATACTTGAGGATGTATCTGCAAATTTTCAGAAGCCATGCATAATGGATATTAAGATTGGAAGACAGACTTGGGATCCATATGCTCCACCCTCTAAACGAGAATCAGAGGAGGTATGCTTACTATTGGCATGATCAATAATAAATTGCCGTTAATATTTTATAAATAATTTTCCTATTTTGTTAATAGAAAAAGTATATGGAATGCAAGAGAGATCTAGGATTTTGCATCCCAGGTTTTCAGGTGTATGAACCTGAAAGTTGGCAATTGACCAAATTTGACAAAAAATATGGAAAATCTTTGAACCAAAAAACTATACGAAATGGTATTTAGAACATAATCTATGAGCTATTGGCTAATTATAAATAATAAAGTAATGACGGTATTGCAATTTTTTTAACAGCATTTTCAACCTTTCTCAATTTGGACAAGAAGGAAAATGCTGCTTGCATAATAGAAGAATTCATCTCCCAACTCAAAAGGATATTTAATATTATATCACAACAAATATCTTTGCACCTTTACTCAAGTTCTATCTTACTGATGTATGACTGTGCGCAACTTGGCTCAAATGTAAGTACCCTATGTTGAGGAATATTTTTCAGGTCTCAGATCAAGCACAATCATTATTAATCCATTCTGTTTACACTTCCAGATAGAACCAGCTGTGTGGGCTCATGTTCGCATGATTGATTTTGCCCATACATTTACAGGAGACTCTCATGACAAGGGCCCAGACAAGAACTATCTCCATGGATTGGAGAACCTTATCCAAGTACTGTCAGGCCTAAAAAGTTGATAACAATTACTATCTGACTTAAAATTATGAGACTGATTACCGTTAATGATATACCACAGCCATTCAAGCAGCCCACACTAGTATCTTAAAGTAGGTCGTAGAAATAGTCAAGCCCTTGACCAAGCTCCCACATTGCAATCCCAATCCCCAGCTGTTCTGCCAAATCTAGTCTCATCTTGATGGACCAGAGAGTAGGAAAGTAGATGGTGTGACGGCCCTGCTTGGTTCTGTATTTGTTAAGAAATTAAATGGGAGGAAAAAGAACAATTATTTTGTGTAATGATTAGCACTGACATTTTAAATGACCATTAAACGTACCTGACTTCAACATAGTTTTCTGAAGCCTCCTTGTCCAGCTTCATTTTACCCTTCATTGACTGAACTAGTTCAATGAATTTATCACCAAGTATTGGTTCTGATGCTCCAGAGACAAAATGATAACCATAACAATTCAAACCCAAAAGAATTTTCTTTCTTCTGGGGTCACCTTCAGTTGGAACAATATGTTCAACACACTGTTTTAACCAATTCAATGGACTGGTGGGACCTGGAAAAATTAACAAAGGCCATTGATATTTAGCACTAGAGAATATTTTGAGAAATAAAATTCAGTGGTAATTAACAGAATTGGCTGACCTGGAGTTCTCATAAAGTTTGAATAGTCATAAGTCATGACAGAGAAAGCAGTCACAAATTCCTCCAAAAGATCAAAATGCTTGCTTCCAAAGACAGTCTGTGGCCTGGAAACATACAATGGATACATTTTAGTCAGCTTGAGTCATCTGTACCGATCAAAGGACGAATGCAAAGAAGAAACGTTCTGACCCTCTCATAGCAGGGATGACAAGAATAAAATCTTTTTCCAGCTCTTTCAGTTTGTTTGACAAGAGTTCAATAAAGTCAACAGCAAGCTCCACATGCCCTGAAGCTATCAATTGTATCCAGCCTTCCAAAACAATACCATCAAATCCATATTTCTGTTAAACAAAAATTTAATATAAATGTTAGAAGGATGAAGCCAAAGCACTTTACCTTGAGTAACAATATTTTTCTTCAAATCTCATTACTGTCACCTACCGTCACAACATTCGTTATTAATTTAACAATTTTTTCCCTAGCTTTAGCATCTTGTAACTCTTGGATTTGTTGAGGAAGCCATCCATCAAATAATAATCGTGGAACAACTGTTTAAAAGAAATAAGAAGTAAAGCAAAGATGATATCCATAGAATTAAACCATAGCTCCAGTAAACAAAACCAAGCTTACTTTTAGCCCCTTTCCTCTTCACCTCTCTCATCCACTTAGCGTCAACGTCATGAGTGCCAGTTATTTTATACTTCATATCAGCATTATGGCGAAGTTGAAGCCATACAGGCGATATATGAGTAAACTTGTGCCCCATCCATTTGGCTATATCATACCCATGGTTATTCCACTACAAGAAGGAAAAGGACAATGTCAATAAAGCGTCTCCAGGTATCGTCATTGGTAAACTAAGTATTCTACAGGATCCACTTACTGGAGTAACGAATCCTAAAGACATGCCATGTTGTAGTCTGCCTTCAGTGTTCTCTGAGCATCTGAAACTGTGCTGAGCTGCCATGTCTTTGTTGCGAGGCATAGAAACAATTAGATTTTCTCTTAGAGCACCATTAAGGCAGACATCCTGGGGAAGCAAAGAAAGAAACGCAGTCAGATATGCAACTCATTTGAAGTGCGAGACCCATATGTCAACGTACCTCTTCGCCTGCAGTTGTTGCTGATGTGAATGCAACAACGGCACCAATCAAAATGAGAACAGTGGGAAAGCCCATGATGAAAATTACCTGAAACAAGAAAATGAAGTCATCTCAAAGAAGCAAGTGTATAATCATGGCAATCAAAGGGTTTTCGAGCTTTGTTCAATTCCTTTCAAGTCACTAGTGACGTTGTCACGAAACAAACCGTCACACCGTGCTTGAAGAGAATCGCTCCCCAAGGCTATCAAGTCCAGGTACAGCAAAATAAGATGACAAGACACGTCGAAACTAGACTCATTGCGTTCGCTTTCCCTTAAAAGTATCCCCTTACCGCTGCATTTGTGCTTCGATTATCAGAAAAAGCCACTCACTTGAGTGCTTGAGTGCAGTCTGCAGGCAGTCGCCGTCGTCTGCTATTGTTTACCGGCAACTGACAGAGGGGAGAAACGAGTCACTACTGTCAGTTGTTTCCCTCTGCCTCTTGTTGTTGTTTGTTGTCCTGGCTGTCTGCTGTCCCACTTGTCAAAATGCCAAATAGTATTGGTCATTGATATTGGCGGACTGGGAGGACGTTCACTGTCGTATCAGTTTTCAGTGGTGCCCCATCCTGCCCCACCTCTCTGAACTACGATTATGATCGTCTACTTGTGGCGAAAACAATGAGCAAAGGCAGGTGCAGTTACAGTGCAGGCACAGGCAGGGGCGTTGCAGGATGCCGGCCTGCTGCTACCGAGTCGTAGTGTAGGCTTTTGGCTGGAGAAAGAATACAGACTCATTGAATGATTTCAGTTGAACATTTCTTGGTCGATGATCTTCGCCAGTGTTGATTTTGACTGACAATATGTCAATGACCAGGTTATGTTTACCTGTTGTGGGTTTGAATGGATTTTCCATTTCGACATTCCCCCTTAACAACCTAGGTAGAGATTCTGTCTGACAATGTACAGATAATCTAACTTTTAAGTGTTCCTTTATGTTTTTTTCAGCATCAACTATGCAGAAGCCATCTATGGAGCCTAGATTTGCAGGCATTACATTTTTCGCGACAAGTCATGTTGGCGATGTTTGTGGAACAAACGGGCTCCCCCTCACACCCAACTCTATCACCATCTATGGTAGATCTCAAATACTTCGTACATTCTCACATCCAAATCTTTGCGCCTATTTGGACATTATTAGAGGAAAACATGGTTTGTACTTTCAATTGGTACTTTTGACCAATGAGTATGTATTATGCTGTCCATTTTCTGTTATGAAGTAATTTTGTTCTTTTCCAGAACGAACAATGATAGTATTGGAGTACTACGCACTTTCTCTTTCTTCGGCTCAATGTTCTATTTCTGAGCAGGGAATTGTGAAATTGTGCCAGCAAACTTTACAAGCTCTTGCATACATCAATACTTTTGGAGTTGTCCACCGTTGTTTAGCTCCAGATAATATTCTCTTTGATTCAAAGGGCAATGTAAAACTGTTCAACTATGGATTATACTATATGACTGGGCAAGGAGGAGATGTGAGCTTCCCTATTGGGTATGTTATACCTTTTCAAGTTGTTTAATTTTTTTTGGCCGTGATGGGAGTGTGAAGAGACTGTAGATTTTCTATGCTTTCGTTTAGAAATCCTCGTTACACTGCTCCAGAAGTGTTTCTAGTTGATTCACAAACTGTTTCTGGGCCCAAAGTTGATGTTTGGTCATTGGGTATTATTCTAGCAGAATTAGCTCTTGGAGTGGGGCAACTGTGGCCAGAACTGAAATTAGCTCAGCTTATGCGCAAAGTTTTGAGTTTGATTCATTGTAACTCTGACACCTCAGTTCTGTCCCGTATTGCTCGTGAGCATAGCTGTTGGACAAAATATGAAGTAAGTGTTTAGATTGAGAGTAATAGTTTCTTCTTTTGTTGCTTGCTATGTGTTTTAGTTTTAATTCATCCCATTTTTCTTTTAGAGTCTTCCTAAGAGCCTTGTTGCTTTGATAAACAGTTGCTTGCAACTCAAACCCTCTGACAGACCTACCCCTGAGGAACTGTTAAAACATCCTGCTTTCCTTGAACATGATATAGCAAATTTAGAGATACATCCCTTTGAAAGGTACATAAATATTAGTCTTCAACTAGATTATTTTAAATTATATTTCTTTTCTGTAAATTTGTCATCAATTTATTTTTCAGAGTTGAAGGAGTGCGTGGTAAGGAACATGCACTCAGTAGCCTTCCTTTGCAAGAGCTGTTTTATTTGTGGCGCCTTGCTGGAGGTGATGTCCAGGCCGAGTTGAAGAAACAAGGTTTAATTCGAACCATGCCTACAATTTTATCAGTTCCTAGGTACTCAATTTTTTATTTGGTGTTGTTGTCATAATTGTTGCAATTTTCTTATCTCATCTTTTCTTTTTTTACTCGTTCTTTACAAAAACCATAAAAAACTATCACCTAAAGAGAACGAGTATTGTGCTCAACAGAGAAATGTGGTGATGTGGTTCATCTCGAAATCTATTACACATAAAGCCCCCATATTCACATGATTTGATACATTTTGTTATTGCTAACAACAATACTATGAGGTGTTTTTTCAGTTTCTATGTAAAATTTTGAGAAAATCGAGTTTGAATGGCAGAAATGATGAGTGTAGAAAATTGTTTTACAAGCAGCTTCTGTTGCACATTTCTCAGTGAAAATGAAGATAAAGCAACACTTTTTGGTGATGAGTTTAAAGCTTAAAGTGCGATTAGAAAGTTCTCTTAGAGGTTTTTTCTCATTATTTATCTAAAAAAAAGAGATATAGAAGGTTTTACAGATTGAAGTAATGGGTGTTTTAAAGTGATTGTAACTTCATAATATTTACCCATAAGGTATGTTTATAAGTAAATCAAAGTTAAAATTAAACATGTATAACCATTTCGTGTTAAAGTGACTAAGTTTTGTCAACATATAAGGAAAGATATCGCTTTATACCATAAATTTGAGGTTAATGGTCATAAGGAGGTGTGACGATGGCGCCATCTATTGAGACAATAATGAGTTGAATTCTTTTGTTCACCACCTTGAACGAGACTAGGGACTTCCCGCCAAAGGCGGAAACCAATCACGATGCTTGAATGTCAAATTATTTTAAAACCTTTTTGGAGGGCAAAAGAGAATTTATGATTTGCAGATGTCTACTTCACTTGATTTCAAAACGCACAAACTCATCTCTCATTTGTTTCTGGTGAACCACATATTGTAAAGAACGAGTCCTCCATTAATATCAAATACTTTTGATATTCCACAGTTTTTTTTCTTCTTATATTCCTTGGCTTCTTGTTTTTTGTGTAACAGACTGGTTTTATTAGAGGGCAATATTCTTGGGAAAAGGCGTGACCAGACTTCCTTATTAGATTTAAAAATCATTCCCTTGTCTCTTGACACCCTTGCTCTTCGCCTTTCAAATGTTCCTGTATCTGCTTACTATCCATTGATTGAGACGAGGTGAGTTGATTGATTGTTGAAATTTTTGAAATGTGACCCCATTATGCAAATACCCATAATACATTTCACTGCTTCAAACAGATCTGAAATAATTCAAGATGATGATGAGTGTGATGCAGCAAACCTGCCATTAATTATTCGTGAGCGAGACACAGAATATCAGTTCCGCCGCATTGTCCTTTTCCGAAGACTTCTTGAAGTAAGCTTGGGTCTTTCTCCAACTTTTTCTCCTTTTTTGTCATAGTTTTGTCATTTTTAATGTTATTGAAATCAGGGCTACCCATACACAAGATCTGCTATAATCCGTGAAGCACGGAGGGACATTCCTCCACTGTATCGAGGTGCAGTCTGGGCTGCTTTGCTGGAAGTTGAAGGAGACATTGATGCTCATTTTATTGAAACAGATAAAGAAACACCTACCCACACAGATCGTCAGGTACAAATTAAAGGCAATAGGAATGTTACAAAGACTAGTGCCCGTACATTTGCGGAAAATATTTTCATTGTCATGTTTCTTGCAGATAGAGGTTGACATACCAAGATGTCATCAATATGATGAACTTCTTTCATCTCGTGAAGGCCACAGAAAATTTAAACGCGTATTAAAAGCTTGGGTGGAGACAAACCCTCAGTATGTTTACTGGCAAGGTCTTGATTCTCTGTGTGCTCCATTTATTTATCTAAATTTTAACAATGAAGGTAAATAAATTTTCATCCATTATTCACTATTCTGTACCAACCATGAATAATTTATGCAAAGTTTTCTGCCCTCCTCAGCTAAGGCATTTGCCTGTTTGTCAGCATTCATCCCTAAATATTTGCACAGATTCTTTCTAAAGGACAATTCAGCAGTTATCAGGGAATATCTTGCAAAGTTTACTCATATTATTGCTTTCCACGATCCTGACTTGTCCAATCATCTCCAAGAAATTGGCTTCATCCCAGACCTGTTTGCCATTCCCTGGTTTCTCACTATGTTTTCTCGTAAGTTCTTTGTCTGTTATTCTAGTGCAGCTGTTTTTTTTTGTTTTTTTTCCCACAATGTTTTTTCTTTGCTTTTGGTTCAGATGTATTCCCACTCCCAAAGATTTTGCATCTGTGGGATCAATTACTCCTTGGGGATGCGTCTTTTCCCCTGTATGTTGGTCTTGCAATTCTCCAACAACATAGGGATGCATTGCTTTCCTCTGGATTTAATGAATGCATTTTACTATTTTCTGATCTGCCTGGTAAGTACAGTACATATTCCTTATTCCTTTTTGGATCCTTTTAGGGATCCATCTCTAAAGTAGACAACTTAAAATTTTTTTCTTTATGTTTTGTAGAAGTGGACATTGAGCGTTGCCTCTCTGATTCAGTAAGTCTATACTGTTGTACTCCAAGAAGTACAACATACAGACAACATGAACGTGTCGTTGTTAAGACACCTTCACAAAAAAATCGACCTCACCATCCCGATCTGGTAAGTAAAGACAAAGATCTCTCAGTAAGTGCTGAGTTTTATTTCAAACACCAAAATCTTATAAGATGATATTTTTTTTACTGCAGGAGATGAGTGCACAAACTGTTGCTGAACTTCAGGCAGAATCCTGTCCACGTATTAGTGGAGCAGATCTTCTAGATCTGTTAGACGCTGTCAAATTCCCCCGGCCTAAAGTTCTTGTCATAGATGTACGAGGCCCAGAATTGTATCCTTAACACTGTTTCCACAGAAAGTTTGTGCATTGCTCTTGTATTTTTGTACTTTTGCCATGGTATTTCTTTAATCAGAAATTTCAGATATAATATTGGCAGTGCTCCTGGTAGTATAAATATACCTCACACTCGTTTTGACTGGACAGCTGAGATTCCTCAGCTACCAAGCTGTCCTGAAGCAAATACATTACTTCAGAACCGTGGGAAAATATTGGTTGTGGCAGGGCAAGGGGACTCTCCGCAAGCAGCACAAGTAAGATGATTCACATGTGTTTTGGCTCTCAAACTCATTCTTCAAATGTGTACTTCATTTTCATTTTGTTATGTTTTAGGTGGCGCAAGTGCTCTTGCGCAGTGGTCTCCCGCGAGTTTGCATATTACACCGAGGCATTGATGTCCTTCAACTGGGAAATTTGCTGACAAAACCTTCCAGTACCTGATCTCCTCTTCATCGCCATGCTGGACACCCAATGCACTTTTTAAGAAAGGTGTTCGGCATTGCTGCTGATGGGAAACATAAATAAAGACAGGATATCTAAGGCATTCTTTTCTCAATATCCAAATAAATGTATATGCATGTTACCACTTTGTTATTTTTATAATTTATATCCAAATCATGTGTTCTAATTTCAATGATGTGTGTATCTGTAATGTGTTCAAAAATGAAAAATGTTAATCTGTGTTTTCTAATGGAAACATTTGCATTCCATGAAAGGGAGACCTTTAAATGTTATTCATCACAATTATTTTTATACATTCTACTGGATTTGGCAATCCAGTCTAAATATTGAGCGGCATTTCAAGTTTTCCTCAATGCCAATGGTGAAACGGGAACAAATTAGCTGTGATAACTGTAAGTGTGAAGAATATCCCAGTAATAAAAATATTTTCTAATAGTATTTCTTTCTACAATTTTTTTTTCTCCCTTCGTCAACTACTTTGCTCAGCACTGGAGGAGGGAAAGCCAGGTGGCACGGTTAAGATGCGGGGAAGGCCAGGCTAGGCCTAAAAGACACTTGGCCCTAGAGAGCCAGGAAAGGCAGCGTGACTGCATTGCTCAAAAATGGCGGGAAGGGAAGTGAGAAAGCCGGTCCGCGAGCATCAACCAACACGGACGTGAATGTGAATCGGGCGGTCCTTGCACACACGAGCCGAGCGTCGCCGAAGCGGCCCCGGGCGCTCGGCTTCGTTGGGCACGGGTCGATAGGCCCCGGGCTGCGTCCGAGAGGGGCAGCCCCGTCGCCGCCCCCGCCGATGGTACTCGAGCCCTCCGGCCTCCGAGGCGAGGCGGCCGACTCGGACGCCACCCGGCAGCGCCACACCACCCCCCGCCTGGGCCGCCCCGCTAGCCCCGCTAGTGCGTTGTTGCTTCCTGGCTATTTTGCAGTTTGTCACTGGAAAACAAAAACACGGAGGACGGCGACGTCTCCAGGTGGACCCAGTGCCGCGGGCGTCCAGGTGGCCAGCGGGGCACCGACCGCTGCAGCGTGACCGCGCACTGCGCGTCCAGGGGCTCGGGGCAAGCTCTCCCTGCTCTTGTCGAGGTTACGGCGGCCTTCTTGATGGTGAGTAGAGAGAAGCGAGTGCTCTGGTCATGCCCCGGCGGCGCTGGCAACGCGCAGACAGCTTGTCTCCTCGCTGGCGCGCCGTCCACCCTGGGCCGACTCGGCACCCGGGACGTCGAGCCGGACCCGAAATCGGAAGAACCCTGCGAAACCCATCGCGGAAACAGTCCCCCTCCCCCTCCCCCTCTATTTCCACCACACTTCCAAACTCAAACTGTGACATAATTCGACGATACCCACGGGTTGTGCGCTTCGCGCCAGTTTTAAAAAAAAAAAAAAAAACTCAAAGCCCCTGCCAGCCCGAAACGGCAGCCTAGCCCGTAGTGGTAATGGTAATGGTGAGGTAGGCAGTCCCGTCACGCTCGCGAGTCGAGCGGTTTGCCTAAGCGCGTGCGAGCAGGCGCTTGCGCTGTACGAGTTGAGCAGTCCGAGACGAGCACGGACTATGTGTCTTTTAAGTACTCGAAAGCACAGTTTGAGCGCAATTTGTTGATGCTGGTCGCGAACTTTCAGGATGACTCGGGTGAATAATCGCGCGCTTTCTGAATCGTCAGCCAAAGCAGCCCGCGTCACCTGGGGCTTTCCTGGGCGATGATTTTTAAATTTTCACATCGTGACGGAGTCAGAGAGCCCTTTGTGATCGGCTTCGACGGGCGATGAAAAAGGCGAAGCGTTTTTGCATTTTCTCCCCCCTCGTTTGCTGGCGATCGAAATTGCCCGCCCCTCGTCCCCGTGACGCCAATTATTGAACAACTGTCACGGCGACGGCGGCGCCGGCACACTGGCGGGCAGACATTGCCTTTGGCAGCGCCGGAATGGCGTCCGTTTTATCACCGTGGCTTATTGAAATTTCGCAGGGAAGCAAAAACGTCAAAGTGATCATTACCTGCTTTCGGCATTTAAAAAGAGAGTGGGAAAAATGGGGGCTTTCCAGTCACGCCCGCGTGCAATTTTGGCGTCTTGTCGGGGTCGAAGATCACGCGGGAACTCATCCGGTCATTGCTCGCACAGTAGGGCACGACCACACTGAAAGCGGTTGCAAAAAAAAAAAAAGCTGAGAAGTGGCGGGAGTCGAACGCCGGTTTCCGGTCTTCAGTACCGGCGCCTTAACGCGCTCGGCCACGGCGACCTCACCGCTTGCTGCTTGTTCCAGGTATAATGCGGCTGCGGACGGACCCCGCCCAGGCGGCCAACATCGGCTATGCCTACCGCACGCCGTCCAGCGGCTGGGCCGCGCGAGTGCGCCACGTGCTCGTGCAGTTCAGCGACTACTTCAGCGAGTTCAACCGCTACATCGCGCCGGCCTACCACCACGACCGCTGCGAGAGGTGCGCCCCGTGGGCCAGGAGACCGGCGCTGGCGGACAAACCTTCAGACGCGTTTTGAGCTCCTGAGTCGCTAAATGGGTCTCGAACCGAACGTGTGACCCCACCAATGGACTGCTCTCCGAACGAGGGATCCATTGGTGGGGTCACGCGCTCGATTCGAGTCCTGGTTAGCACTCTGGAGCTTAAAACACCCCTAGAAGAGTTTTGGCCGCAGGGCGGGCCTCATGCAGAGTCTCTCCCGCTGGGGGTAGCGGCGGGGCAGTCGTCGGGGGTCCCTACCGCCCGGGGTATAGCTGCTGCTGCTGTCCCGCAGGTCGGTGCAGATGCGCCTGTACACGATGCACAAGCGCGAGCTGATGGTGGTGATCCTGACGTTCGTGGCGTGCGTCTTCCTGGCCGTGCTGGTGGGGCTGTGCGGGCCGCCCATCACGGCGCAGAGCGAGATCCGCGCCACCAGCCTGCGGCCCTCGCTGTCCCCCCAGGAGCTGGCGTCCGCGTCCACGCCCATGGTGCTGCGCACGCCCGCCCTCAAGTCCTACCACCAGCAGCTGTGGCTCATCGCCAAGCTGCAGACCGACAACGTGGACGGTGAGGACAGTGGAGCACAGTGGGCCAGGAGACTGGTGGAGGCGGACAAAGCTCTAGATGCGTTTTGAGCTCCAGAGTCGCTAAACAGGCCTAGAACCGAACGTGTGACCCCACCAATGGAGAGCAATCCATTGGTGGGGTCACACGTTCGGTTCGAGTCCCTTTTAGCGACTCTGGAGCTGTAACCGCGTCCGGGGTTTTGTCCGCCTCCACCGGTCTTCTGGCCCACTGTGGGCCGGGTCGGTTTGTCGACACTTTGAAAGGGGGCGGATGAAAGAGCGTGGTGCTCCGACTGCGCAGACGAGCTGTACGACAGGGCGGTGCACATCGGCGTGACGGCACACGGCATCATGGAGGACCACCGGCCCGTGCTCATCCTCAAGGCGGACCGCGGCCACAACCGGTACAGTCGCGCAAACAGCTTGACTCCGGCACGGCTGCAGTTGAAAACAATCCGAATCTCTCTTTTGTTTTTCAGGACGCGGCACCTGCACTGCAAGCTGCAGGACTGCGAGGAGGTGGTCATCATGCACCTGGGCTTCCTCGCCTACACGCACTACATGGTGGAGATCCGGTTCTACGGCCTGGAGAGCCACACCTTCAACGTCAAGGAGATCACTTTCTACGTGAGTGCCACATTTTTTTTTTTTTTTTGAAATAATAATAAACACGCGTTTTGTAACTAACGCCGATTGTTCGGTCCAGTTCCGCACCTACAACCCGGAGTTCACGCAGATCGAGATCTGGTTCCGGCTCATCTTCCTCATCATGACGTTCGTGGCCATGGTGCGTAACCATTGCCCCCTCCTCAGCGCGGCGCCTCTGTCCCTGTCCGCTCAGTGGGCCAGAAGACCGGTGGAGGCGAACAAAACTCTAGACGCGTTTTGAGCTCCAGAGGCGCTTAAACAGGCCCCGAACCGGGCGTGTGACCCCACCAATGGACTGCTCTCCGAACGAGGAATCCATTGGTGGGGTCACACTTTCAGTTCGAGTACTGTTTAGCGATTCCGGAACTCAAAACGCGTCTAGAGTTTTGGCCGCCTCCACCGGTCTTCTGGCCCACTGTGGTCCGTCTCATCAAACGCTCGTTGCCTTTCTCCCTTCCGCCAGATGATGTATGCCCACGCCCTGCGCAAGTTCCCCTCCCACGACTGGTCCATCGAGCAGCGCTGGCTGTCCCTGCTGCTGCCGCTGCTGGTGTTCTTCAACGGTGAGCCCAACCCCTCCCTCCTCGATAACTCGTCAAACTCGGGGGACAGGACGGATCCGGCTCGTGGGCGTGAGGGGGACGGCTAGCTCGACAAAAAAAAAGAGGGATCCGACTTTGGGTGTTTGTATCTCCTCAACGGCGAACGTTTGGGAACTCCTTTCTCTTTGAAAATCACACATTTGAAACTAACTGCCACGCGGCGCTACTCCACGTGCGACGGACTCTCGGTGCCGATTTGGCGGACGAGCTTCGCGCGCGGGGTATCGCCAAGGCCGTTTCCCCTCCGGCAACACGGGCGATCCGATCCACCCACGCCACGGGCGCGGCCGCGTAAATTTGGTTTGGTGTCTTGCCAGCCCGATGGGAATCCAATGCGCTGTTTTTTGTTGCTGTTGTTGCAGACCCGATATTCCCGCTCATGTTCCTGACGAGCTCGTGGGTGCCGGGCATGCTGGACGCCGTGCTGCAGGCCACGTTCCTGTGCGCGCTGCTGCTGTTCTGGCTCTGCATCTACCACGGCCTGCGCCAGGTCGGGGCCCACGCTGGAGTTGCCAGAAGACCGGTGCAGGCGGCCAAAACTCTAGACGCGTTTTGAGCTCCAGAGTCGCTGAACGAGACTTAGAGCTGAGCGTGTGACCCCACCAATGGATTCCTCGTTCGGAGAGCAATCCATCGGTGGGGTCACACGATCGGTTCGAGCCCCATTCAGCGACTGCGAAGCGCAAAAACGCGTTCGGAGTTTCGACCGCCCCCTCGTTCTTCTGGCCCACTGCTCAAAGCCTAGTCCTTCCACTGAGACTCACCGACGAACTTTTGTTTTTGCTGCTGCATAGAATGAGCGTCGCTGGGGCTCGTTCTACGCGCCCAAGCTGCTGCTGGTGGGGCTGCTGTGGCTGGGCGCGGTCGTCATGGCCTCCTGGCAGAAGTGCAACGAGCTGCACGACCCCACCTTCAACCACCGCGTCGACGCCGCCGACTACAACGTGAGGGACAGGGCATGCTGGCGTCGCTCAGCCTCTCTCGCACTCCTGGGGCGCACAGTGGGCCAGAGACCGGTGGAGGCGGCCAAAACTCTAGACGCGTTTTGAGCTTCAGAGTCGCTGAACAGGCCTCGAACCGAACGTGTGACCCCACCAATGGATTGCTCTCCGAACGAGGAATCCATTGGTGGGGTCACACGTTCGGTTCGAGGCCTGTTCAGCGACTCTGGAGCTCAAAACGCGTCTAGAGTTTTGGCCGCCTCCACCGGTCTCTGGCCCACTGTGGGGCGTCCTGTGTGCGAGAGTGACAGAGTCCCGGTTGCCTACACCGTGCGTCTGCTTGCAGGGCTACAAGGCCTTCCTCATGGCTGTCGGCGGGCTGTACGCGGTGTACCTGCTGTTCCTCATGCTCAGGGCGTACACGGACCTCCGTTCGATGCCGTTCTTTGGTAAGCCCGCGAGTCCGCTTCACTTCAAAACCAAGACAGAAGGAAAAAAACCGAGGGTTGATTTTTAAAAATGAATGTGCGCAGACATGCGCCTGCGCTTCCTGACCTTCTTCATGATGGTGGTGATCGGGGTGACGCTGACGCTGGCCGGCATGCGCTACGGCGCCGGCGTGCTGGAGGACGACTTCGTGTCGGAGCTCAGCACCACCTACACCAGCTCGGCGCACTTCATGTGCTTCTACGGGCTGCTCAATTTCTACACCTTCGCCATGGCCTACGTCTACTCCCCGGCCCAGATGCAGCCTCATGGTACAACAATAATTTTTTTAAGAAATTCAAAAAGGTTTTGAGTGCCTACGCACATTGAACCAGAAGACTGGTGGAGGCCGAGGGTGGAGGCGGTCGAAACTCTAGACGCGTTTTGAGCTCCAGAGTTGCTAGGACTCGAACCGAACGTATGACCCCCCACCAATGGATTGCTCTCCGAACGAGGAATCCATAGGTGGGGCCACACGCTCGGTTCAAGTCCTGTTTAGCGACTCTGGAGCTCAAAACGCGTCAGTCTAGAGTTTCTCCGCCTGCGCCGGCCTACGCCACCACCCGTGAGCTAACGCGTCCCCCGTTGCGTTCCGCAGACCAGGCGCTGACGAAGGACAACCCGGCCTTCTCCATGATCAACGAGTCCGACGAGGAGCAGGTGCTGTACGGCTCCGACGACGAGTGCCGCCGCCCGCTCAACCTGTCGCGCTGCAACGAGGCGGATGACAGTGACTAGCGCGCCGACAGAAATATCTTTTTTTAACTCAAAGAATAGCGGAGTTTTGTTCGGAGGGAGTGAGTCAGGTTGCCCGCCTAACTACAGGCGGGTTGAAGTGGCGGCTCGCCATAAGGGCTCCCCAGGGGCGGCCCCCAGGGGTGGACCTCCTGACACCCTCCGCTACGCCGCTACGCCCCGGCACACTCATTCCGAGAGTCGCTGTCGTCGCTCTGTCTCTCTCGCACCGATACGGGACGCGCCGTGAGTGCGAGAGAGACAGCGCGACGAAAGCGACTCTCGGAATCAGTCTGCTGGCGCGGGGCAAAGGCCTCGCGGGGCGGACGGCCTAGGACGGCCCGGCCGGTACTCTGAGGAAAACTCTTTGAGCATTAGCATACACGCACAGGCCGGGCGTTGATTTAAATATCAGGGGCAGGAATTAAAATTGGAGATCCGCGCTGGAGCCCCGCCCTGCCCGCCCTGCTGCCTGGGGCGTGCGCGTTTTTGTTTTTCGCAGTGGAGGGGCCGGGCGCACAGTGGGCCAGAAGGCCGGTTGAGGCGGACAAAACTCTGGACGCGTTTTGAGCTCCAGAGTCGCTAAATGGGAATCGAACCAAACGTGTGACCCCACCAATGGACTGCTCTCCGAACGAGGAATCCATTGGTGGGGGTCTATGTTCGTTTCGAGGCCTGTTAAAGCGACTCTGGAGCTCAAAACGCGTCTAGAGTTTTGTCCGCCTCCGCCGGTCTTCTGGCCCACTGTGGGGCGCGGACTTCGGGAAACTGGGTGAATCACCGGCCCTGTGCGAAGGGCGGTGCGAGATGCAGACTGTTTTGCTGTGATGTATACTGCGGTAAAGATGCCGATGTGGTCGTCGAGGAGGAATGCCTGACACACCATTTGGATATAATTTGTTTTTAAAAAAATCGGACTGTCTTCTCTTCTCTTCCGTTAGTCTGTTTTCTCTCTCTCTCTTTCTTTTGAATGTTAATTGACGTCACAAAGCAGCCTTGCCGGGACCGGTCCTTGAGGGGCGGTGGAGGCGGGGTGTCGTCATCAGTGTTATCCGTGTGAACATGTCATTACCTCATAATTTATTTTGTTAATAAACCAAACCATGAAAAGTTAAACTGGCGTCTCCTTTTATTTTCCCTGGCTGATGATGCGTTCGTGAAGAGGTGTTTAGTGAGTTGGTGACAAGGACCCACTTTTGACACTTTTCGAGCAAATAAAGATGAAGCATAGCTCGAACGAATATCCGTCCAAAGCACTAGAAAAAAATGAAAATGAAACAGCATTCCAGCTAGAATTCGAACGGTTCAAAAAATTAGTGAGGCAAAACTAAAGCAGGGATTGTTTTTTATTTCACATTTACGCGACCGCGACACCAAAATTAGGCTATTTAACCGACGAAATGCAAAATAAACAACGCAAACGCTACTTGAAAGGACCGTAACGACCCATTTAAGCGATAGGCAATCATTATGGCGAGAAATCCATACACGGGCTGGAGGCTGCGGCGGGCGGGGGCTGCTGGGGGACGGGACCTCGCGCAGGGGGTGGCGGTGCTGCGGGCGGTGCTGGGGGTGGGGGGGGGACGCCAGGCTTCTAGGCCAGGGGGCCAACGGCAGCCAGCGGCCCCACCCCGGCCCGAGGCGCGGCCCAGGGGCGTTGCAACGAGATGAGAAAAGGAGAGACTCAAAGGCAGCGCGTTGGTGAGCACGAGGCACGGAGCGGGGCCCTTGGCGGGGCCCGTCCCCGAGCGGCACGCTAAACCGAGTCGGGGCCGTTACGTCATAGGTGGACGCCCCCCCCGGCGGCGGTGCTCCGAGGAACGCACAGTGGGCCAGAGGCCGGTGGAGGCGGACAAAACTCTAGACGCGTTTTGAGCTCCAGAGTCGCTAAATGGGACTCGAACCGAACGTGTGACCCCACCAATGGATTGCTCGTTCGGAGAGCAATCCATTAGTGGGGTCACACGTTCGGTTCGAGTCCTGTTTAGCGATTCTGGAGCTCAAAACGCGTCTAGAGTTTTGGCCGCCTCCACCGGTCTTCTGGCCCACTGTGGCGCTACTCGGCCGCCAGACGCGCCAGACGGCACAGCACAACAATAACACGCCAGAACGTCTTTTGAAGCTCTTTTCTTTTTCGCTCTCTCCCTCCTGCTCTTATTTTGCTTTTTCATTTTGCCGGCGCGTCTGCTCTCGCGCGCCTCGCGGCTCTCGGGGGAAGGCTTGCTGCTTTCGGTCCAGCCCTTTGATTTCAGTGCGATCCGCGGCGAGCGACCAACGACCATCGACCCCGCATCACTTCGCCTCGCTTCTCGAATCCCTCTGGTCGCCCCGCCGCGCCCTGCCGCGCCCTGCTCTAGCCTGTATCCGGGCGGGCGGGGAGGGGGCGGGGCAGGGGCCGCAAGTTGGCTGGAAGTAGCAGGGGTAGAACAACCCTGCGCAGAGCACGGCGGGGCGTGGCGGGGCGTGGCGGGGCGGGGCGTGGCGTGGCGGGGCGTGGCGGGGCCGGGAGTAGCAGCGGCGGCAGCGCGCTCCCTGCAGGAGCACCTGGAGGGCCTGCTTGGCCTGCTGGAGGCTGGAGTACACGTTGACAAGGAGTACCCCCACCTCCAAGCCGAGCCAAGGGCCGCCACTGTCAGCCCTTGCTCCCCTTGCTCCTTGCCCGCCACGCCCAAAGTCCCCAGAATCCACAACGGCGGGCCAATCGAACGGCTCGTTTTAAGATTCCCGCCAAATCGCGGCGCCGTCATTGGCTGATGATTGGCGCGCTGCTTCCCGCGCGCTCGATATGCGTCCCTCGCTGCTGCCGCTGTCGCCCTCGTCCGGTCCAAGCACCCCGTCACCGCCACACCGTAGGGCCCGAAGCCACGCGGGGCCGGGCGGCGCGACGACGACGCCGCGCTGGAAGCTAAGAAAACCTCATTAATTTTCTTCAAATATTTGAGTTGGCAACTTGGGGAGGACAGGGCCTGCCTCGGCCTGCCTGCACTCGGGGGCCCAGCGTTTGTCCCCCCGTTTCTTGCAGTGGGCTTCGGCTGGCTTCGGGTGCCTTCGGCTGGCTTCGGACCGGGCCCAGCCGTGCCACAGGGAGCCCAGCCCGCCCAGCCTGGCCTGGCCGCCACGCCCCACGGCCGGGCTGCCTGGGCTACGCCGCGACGCCGCTACGCCGGTCCGTAGTGGCGCTGCCTGCGCTGCCTGCCGTCGCTGCGCGCAGCCCCCTCCCCCTCCCCCTCCCCCTCCCCCTCCCGCGGCCCCCACCCCCAGCAGGCGGGGGGTTGCTGGGCCCTGGCTGGGCTGGGCTGGCTGGGCTGGCTGGGCTGGCCGGTGCCAGCAGAGGGCTGCCAGGCGCCACGGAGACAGGCGGGGCGAGCGCGGCGTGGCGAGGCGCGGTGCGGCGCGGCGTGGCGGAGACTCATTGCTCAACGGGGACATGACGACCACGGGGACCACGGGGACCACGACGGCGTGGCCGCGGTGAGCGTGCGAGGCGACGCCAGGCGCGTGAGGTGTGCGACGCGGCGGACGCAGCAGCGGGCGGCGACCGCGGCGACGTGGCGCGACGCGGGGCGGCGGGGGCGGCGGGGCGCGCAGTGCCGCGCATAGTGCCGCGCCGCAGCGAGAGTGCCGCAGTGGAGATCGTGCAGTGCAGTGAAGTGCAGTGCCTCGTCGCCGTGCTTGGGATTACGTCCACACATGACTCCGCCCCGTCCCAGGCCACGAGGTGAGTCACAATAAGCCCCGCACGCGTGCGCGCTGCGTGCACGCTGCGTGCGCGCCCACACCCACACGCACACACGCACCACGCCCCGTTGGGGGCACGGCCGGGACGGGCGTCTGGCCGCCCTGGGGATGCTGCCTCCTAACCTAATCCGGCCCAGCCCTCGTCCTCGGCCGCCCCGTCCTCGGCCAGGCCGTTTACGGCCGCCCCCTCCCCGGGCATGCGCCCCGCTCTCGGCCCCCTCGCCTGGCCGCCTGCCCTCGCCCCGATGCAAGGGGTCTCGACGGTCCAAGCCAGCTCGGCGCTGCGGGGCGGGGCGGGGCGGGGCGGGGCGGGGCGCCCACCCTTCTTTCGCAGTTCTGTGTCGTCGAGAAGGGCGGCCGCTTTTGTCCGCCGAGGGCCGCCGAGGGCCGCCGAGGGCCACCAAGGGCCGTGCGTACCATTTTGCTCAACTTGGCGGGGGGCGTCCGCAAAGGGGGGCCGTTTTCTCTCTGGGCGAGGGGAGGGGTGGGGCGTGTTTGGGCAAGGCCGCGCCAGGCCGCGCCAGGCCACGCCAGGCCGTGCCGAGGAAGGGTTAGGTGAGGCTGGCAGGGAGTGGCTTCGGCTCTGCCGCAGGGCCGCAGGACCGCAGTCTGTCAAGGCCAGAAAATCGAAAACGTGCCGCCGCCAAAACGGCCAGAATACTCGTTCGCTATCGTACGTGCATACGTAGCTCAGGGAATGGCGCCAGTGGTGTCTGTCTGTGTTCTCAGGGTTTAACGCTCAAACGCTCAACGTTTAACGCTCAACGTTTAACGCTGAAACGCTCAACGTTTAAAGCTCGCGAATCATCATATTCAGTCCTCGTGTTAGCGTATACACACAAACAAACTCTAAATTGGCACAACATTTTGGTGCAATGTGAAATTGTTGGCGTGAAGTCGTGAACTAGCTGCCGCTGGAATTCGTTCAGCAATGTCCGATTTAGGATTGGGAAAGGAGCAACTGTTTGAATAATGTGCCATGAATATACTGAGAGAGATGGCAGTGGGAATTGAGATGATGTATAAAAATAACACGCTAGGTTACCGGCTAAAACGGTCTGGAAAAGCTATGCTCCTTCTCAAACCAAGTTCGTTGCTTGCAACGCTGACCCAGCGGCCTGCTCAGCGCCTGTGACTCCGAGGGTAGACAACCCGCGCAGACGGCGTGCTCAGCGGGATGGCCTACCTTTGCTGCATGAGCGCCTGTGACTCCGAGGGTAGGCAACCCGCGCAGACGGCGTGCTCAGCGGGATGGCCTACCCCACGCTCTGCAGGCGCTCAGAGTCACCGGCGAGCAAAATGGCAACCCGAGATCTCCGGCGTGGCAAGCGTTGCCTTCCGCGCAGCTTAACCAGAGTGGCCTAAATTGACATTGGCAGGCAAGCCCTCTGTCACCGCGACCATAGGGGGACTGTCTGATTGTCTGGGCGACGGATCTGTGTTTGACAGTTTGTTTACATCTGTCCATACGGAGCGGGGAGGTGGCTGCAGCTCTGCTGTGGCTTGAGACCCTTGCCCCTGAGACCCTTTCCTTTGAGACTCCAGACTTTGAGATCCTGACTCTTGAGACCCTGACCTTTGCGACCCTCAGACAGCCTGACCTTTGAGACCCTTTTAGACCCTGGCTTTGAGACCCTGTGAGACCCTATCCTTTGAGACCCCAACCCTTGAGACCCTAACCCTTGACACCCTGACCTTTGAGACCCTCAGAGACCCTGGCCTTTGAGACCCTTTGAGGCCTCTTGAGACCCTGGCTTTGAGACCCTTTGAGGCCTCTTGAGACCCTGGCTTCGAGACCCTTTTGAGACCCTTGGAGACCCAGGCTTTGACACCCTTTGAGACCCTGGCTTTGAGACCCTTTGAGACCCTGACCTTTGAGACACTGGCCTTTGAGAGCCTGGTCCAAGCCGTGTTTTTAGCTTGGAATGTCAGTTCAGTCCCCAGACGCGTTGGTATAGTGAACTCGATCATGGAGATGTGGGGATCTGGCAGTTCATGACACAAAGCAGCGACCACAACAGATGTCATATTTTGTGACGTTATTGATTTATGGCCAGCAGAATGCTGGGAAGTGATGCATGTTTACAAATTAGCCCGTTCCCGTTGGCAGCGGCAACTCGTTTTGTTTGTCCTCACTAACGAAGTGTTGTTTTGTTTCCAGGGAGGACGATGGCGGAAGCCCAGGAAAAGCAACGGTAAGCCGAAAAAAAATAATCAAAGCACACATCAAAACATGAATGCGAACGGCGTGTCGAAGCGCGAGGCTGAAAATGCGTTTCCTCGCCTCCGTTTGTTTTGTGGCCGAATGTGCGCGCGTAGTGGCAATTTGTTTGGTTTTGCTTTTTTTTGGAGGAATAGGGAGGGGTGAAGTTTGTCATTCCATCAGTGGATAACGAAACCACCCTGCACTGTTCAGTGCAACTACTCGATTTGGCTCTCCGAGGAACAATTAATTCAGATCCTTACCAGCTGGGCGAAGATAAGTTTACACCACCGCTAAAACTAAAAAACAATAATAATAATAACAACAACAACAACAACAACAACAAAAAGCAACAAAAAAAAATAACATTAAATGCATTTGCGAACGGTATTGTGTGCCTTTTCGCGATCTATCTTTACACCAGGAGACTAACACGTGACTAGTTCATATGCGAATGTCCTTTTCGATAATGTCGAATGTTAGTAGTAGTAGTTGTTGTTGTTTTTGTTATTGTCGGCCTTCTTGAGACCATTCCCTAGTCAGACCCAAAGTACCGCCGCAATAAGCCGTCGGCTCCGGCACCCCAAGCCCTGCCTGCCCTGCCTGCCCTACCGCCCTGCCCGGCCCTGCCTCCATGGTTCGCGTGCCTAAGCTCCGCTCGCTCCGAGAGCCCCCCCCCCCCCCCCGTCCCGGTTTGGGTTCCCCCAGTCTCTCGGGGCACCCGGATGCACTCCTGGAGCAGGCACGCGCCACCCTAGGGGGCGTGGCAACGGCGTGTTCGGGACGGCGTGTTCGGGGCGGCGTGTTCGGGACGGCGTGTTCGGGACGGCGTGTTCGGGACGGCGTGTTCGCGACGGCGTGTTCGGGACGGCGTGTTCGGGACGGCGTGTTCGGGACGGCGTGTTCGGGACGGCGTGTTCGGGACGGCATGTTCGGGTTCGGGACACCGCGGCTCCCCAGATTTCCCTTTCCGGTGTGTCTGGCGCCTCATCTCTGATTGGCCGTCACGTTGGTAGCCCGTGACTCGATAGACCAATGAGGTATGCTCTTCTATCGCAAGAGGCAGGGCGCGAGGGAGGGGGAGGGGGCCTGCAGCACCCCGTTTTCGCTTCAAACCCCCAGCCCTCCAGCCTAGCCCGCCAGCCCTCCGCCGGCCCCCAGCTGGTCCATTCGCCAATGAGCGATGCCCCCGCAGTGGGGGGACGGCAGCTGTCTTCGCCTCACCCCCACCCCTCCCCCTCCGCCACCGCGAGGCGCCCTCGTCCCGCACCTGCGCAGGTAGCCCCCACCCCCTTTGGGGGCAACTTTCTCTCTGTCTTTCCCGGCAGAAGAAACGTCACTTCTGCTAGTATTCCGTGGTGCCCAGGGTGCCCAACGCCCGACGGCCTCTATCCAAACAGCCCCCTCCCTCTCACCTTAAGACAATCCTCCCGTCGTGGACCCTGCCGCCCTGCCGCCCTGCCTCCCCCGAGCGCGAACGGGCCCCGCCGGGCCCCGCCGAGCCCCGCCGAGCGTGGCCGAGCGTGGCCGAGCATGGCCGAAGCCCCCTCCCCGGGCCGGTCCACGCGTTCCGCGCCTGCGCCGCGCCTGCGCGCAGCAGCCCTGGCCGCGCTCCGCTCCGCTCCGCTCTGCTCCGTGCAATCGATAAGGTCTCCATGGCGACGCCTCGCCCAGCTTCACGGCTTCACGGCGGCAGATGCGCGCAGAAGATGCGCAGAGACACGAGCGGTACCCGCAGAGGGGGTACGCGGGTACTCCTGCCCCCCCGCGCCGCCCCCGCGCCGCCCCCGCGCCGCCCCCGCCGCCCCTCCCCTGGCCCCCGACAGTCCCACACCCGGGTGGGAGAGATGTTTAGGCGAGACGGGAGGGGCGGCGGCAGGGGGCGGGGAGGGGGGGGAGGGTGGGGGAGGGTGGCCCACTGAGGGCCTGGCGGCCTGGCCCACTTACCTCTGGGCTACTCGCACAAAGATGGTGGGGGAGGTCGGGGCGTGGCGGGGTGCGGTGCGGCGGGGCGCGGCGGGGCGTGGCGGGGCGCGGCGGGGCGCGGCGGAGCGCGGCGGGGCGCGGCGGGGCGCGGCGGGGCGTGGCGGCAGGGTGACTGCGGCCGTCGCGCGCCTTCGATGCAAGGTTTACAGGGCGGTACTCATGGACTGTCGGCCGCGTGCCTAAATAAAATATTCGTGCATATTCTTGTAAAGCCTACTCTCTTTGCAAACGGTGGCTGTGGGAGAGATCGGGAGTGGGATGTCGTCCCCGCAATGCCTCTGCGGAGACCCTCCTCGCTCCGAGGCGAACAACACTGTGACGTCGCCTGGCAGGCCGGCCTACGCTCTGTCTCTCACGCACCCCTGCCGGACGCCGCGTGATGCGAGAGAGACAAGGGGTGGGTCGCCACCCCGAACGCTGCTCGCTGGACTCTGTGTGTGACTTTGTGCTCGTTTGCCCCCAGGTGACCCACGTTGCATGCCGCCCCAGGGCAGCTGCTTCCGTCCCCGCCGCTGGTGCCTCTGGTACAGCCCTGGGGCTCCATGGCTCTGTCGCGACCTCATGAGGTGAGTACACTCGAAGGGACTGATCGGTCAGGGACACGTTCCGCTCGCGCTACTCCGGGCCAGGGCCGTGTCATCGGTCACCCCGTCGTGCCAACACCCTGGGTCCTGGGCCCTGGTCACCGCGTCGAGACGAAGGAGAGGCTTGGGCGGGCGAACAGTGGGCCAGAATACCGGTCGAGGCGGTCAAAATCCCCGACGCGTTTTGAGCTCCAGGGTCGCATAATGAGACTCGAACCGCGCGTGTGACCCCACCAATGGATTGCTCTCCGAACGAGGAATCCATTGGTGGGGTCACATGTTTAGTTCGAGTCCTGTTTAGCGACTCTGGAGCTCAAAATGCGTCTGGAGTTTCGGCCGCCGGCACCGGTCTTCTTGCCCACTGTGTGCTGGTCCCTGATGGTCCCTGCTGGTTCGTCCGGTCCGGTACTCGACGGGGACGCGCGCAGGACGCGCGTGGCAGCGCTTTGGCGGGACGCCGCCAGGGGGCGCTCGGGGCGCTGCCCCACCCCCTGCAGACCCTGTATGCAAAATGAGCAAACTACTCAAACAACGGAGAATCGTCGTTCGGAAACGGGGTGGAGAATTTCGGCGCGGTCTGGTTAGCACTGCACGCGCTGCCTGATCTCCGAAATGTACACGCGAAGTTGGATGTAACGTCAGCTGACAAATAAAACAAAACATGACGGGGATCGAGGTCAAAAGGTTACTGAACGAACGCTCGGTTCGCGCTGCTCTGTTCCAGGAGTCACTATGGTCCAGGCCCACAGCTTACGGAGCGGTCTGGGAGTGCTCGTCTGCCTACTCGCCGCCGCCGCTCTGTCTTCGTCAGGTGAGTGCGGATATCGGACGACGACAAAGAGAGACGCACCACAGTGGGCCAGAGAACCGGTGAAGGCGGACAAAACCCTAGACGCGTTTTGAGCTCCAGAGCCGCTAAATGGGACTCGAACCGAACGTGTGACCCCACCAATGGATTGCTCTTCAAACAAGGAGTCCATTGGTGGAGTCACAAGTTTGGTTCGAGGTCCTATTTAGCGACTCTGAAGCTCTAAACGCGTCTAGAGTTTTGCCCGCCTCTACCAGTCCTCTGGCCCACTGTGGGCACGACAGCGCGCAAAAAGCAAAAGAACAACAACAAAAGACAAACAAACTGGGGCGCGGACTTCCCTTCCCCCGCCTCTTTGACGATGACAGCACGCTCTGTTGTGACGGACGCGTCCTCGACACCCTCAATGGCACGAATCAAGATCGGGGAGGGCCTGTAGGGCCTGCGGGGGTGGAGGGCCTTCGCCTGTAGGCTCGCCTGTAGGCCTGCAACGTGTAACGCCCTGCCGGCCACGTCGCGTAGCGTCGCGTAGCGTCGCGTAGCGTCGCGTAGCGCCCCGCCACGGTGGGGGGCCCGCCGCCCCGCCGCCTCGCAGCAGCGCGCCGTGCCTCACTTGGCCGTCAGCCGTCCTGGCGGCATCACCGCGTATCGGCTGCAGCCAGGCAGTGGAGTGTGAAGGGAGTGTGCAGAGTGTAGGGAGTAGCCAGAGAGTGTTCAGGGAGGACAGAGAGTGTGCGTCCAGCGAGTGCACAGAGAGTGTGCATTGCGAGCGTACAGAGTGTTCAGAGATTAGACAGGACAGAGAGTGTACAGCCAGAGAGTGTTCAGAACGTGGATAGGACAGAGAGTGTGCTTCCAGCGAGTGCAACAGCGAGTAGACAGGACAGAGAGTGTGCGTCCAGTGAGTGCAACAGCGAGTAGACAGGACAGAGAGTGTGCGTCCAGCGAGTGCAACAGCGAGTAGACAAGGACAGAGAGTGTGCGTCCAGCGAGTGCAACAGCGAGTAGACAGGACAGAGAGTGTGCGTCCAGCGAGTGCAACAGCGAGTAGACAAGGACAGAGAGTGTGCGTCCAGCGAGTGCAACAGCGAGTAGACAAGGACAGAGAGTGTGCGTCCAGCGAGTGCAACAGCGAGTAGACAGGACAGAGAGTGTGCGTCCAGCGAGTGCAACAGCGAGTAGACAAGGACAGAGAGTGTGCGTCCAGCGAGTGCAACAGCGAGATGCCAGCCACGCACTCGGAGCGCCTGGTGCAGTGCGTGGGCATCGCCATCATCACCCTGTTCGTGCTCATCTTCATCGGCTTCATCATCGCCTACCGCCCCGCTGCGTAGCCTCGGCGTGGCTTTGGCCCTGGCGCGACCTCGGCCGCCAGCATGCCGTAGGTAACGTCTCCCCTGCCGTGAGGCGCCTCACCCTCTCACAGTGGGCCAGGAGACCGGTGGAGGCGGACAAAGCTCTAGATGCGTTTTGCGCTCCAGAGTCGCTAAACAGGCCTAGAACCGAACGTGTGACCCCACCAATGGATTCCTCGTTCGGAGAGCAATCCATTAGTGGGGTCACACGTTCGGTTCGAGTCCCACTTAGCGACTCTGGAGCTGTAACCGCGTCCGGGGTTTTGTCCGCCTCCACCGGTCTTCTGGCCCACTGTGCCTCTCCCCGCGACGGCGAGGGGACGGCCCGTGAATTCTCATCTCCGCCGTTTGCTTCCAGTCGAGCGATTCCAAAGAGTGGCTCTGTCTCTTTCACTTTCCCTCCCTCCCGTCGGGCCGGGCGCGAGAGAGAGAGCTCGGAATCAGCCTCCAGGCCTGTAGGCGCCCGGAGGATTCAAGGGCGCCGTCAGTGTGTCACGGGCGTGCACCCTGGAGGCGGCCGCGATCCCACCCCACCCCTTGAGAGACTCTCGTGTGAAAGGCGCCTGGCGGCCTGAGCTGCATCAGCACATTCTCATCAAGCTGCTAGCCCAGCCTCCCCCCCCCCCGGCCCTCTTTCGCTCCGCCACTCGACGGAGAGGAACGCGTCCAAGGGGACCGAAGGAGACACTTGGACCGGGTAGCCTTGATCGGCAGCCAGGGGCTCCAGGCGGCCCGTCGGCCCATCCATGCCCCTCGTGGCCCTCCATGCACATTCACGGCCGTCATGGCAGTCACCAGCCACCGCGGCAACCCGCCAATCGTGAAGGCCGGGGCCGCGGCGCAGCCAGGGCACAGCGGACAGACAGACAGACAGACAGACAGACAGACAGACAGACAGACAGACAGACAGACAGACAGACAGACAGACAGACAGACAGACGGCAACTTTGATTCTACCGATTCTCTTTGTATTAAAAACAAATTCCGAATTTAAAAAAAAATGAAATTAATTTTTTGAATTGTTTGCAACGCATTTCCAGAGTGCGACCGGACGTTCTCCAGTCGTCCCGGGGGCCCGATGAATGGCACCTTCACGGCGCCCGTCTTCATCAACCCGGACAACCACGCGCGCCAGTGCATCTACGTGTTCCAGGCGCAGCCCCGGCAGCGCGTCGAGGTGTCCTTCACCTTGTTCAACCTCAGGGGCACGCCGCCCGAGTGAGTCTCCCCCCCCCCCTCCCTCTCCATCAGCCGATCGAGGGGGCAACGACACTGAAAAACCAAACGTGGTCCAGACCGCACCACTGGTGTGGTCAGATGGGTGCCATTTTGACCACATCAGTTGGTGTGGTCTAGACCACGTTTGGGCACGTGGTGCGGTCTAGACCACGTTTGGCCACGTTTGGTGTGGTCTAGACCACGTTTGGCCCCGTTTGGTGTGGTCTAGACCACGTTTGGCCCCGTTTGGTGTGGTCTAGACCACGTTTGGCCACGTGGTGCGGTCTAGACCACGTTTGGCCCCGTTTGGTGTGGTCTAGACCACACCAAACGCCCCAAACGTGGTCTAGACCACACCAACTGATGCGGTCAAAATGGCATCCATTTGACCACATCAGTTGGTGCGGTCTAGACCACGTTTGGGTTTTCAGTGGACTTGGAAATTTGGTGTACGTCGCATTGGGATTACTCCAGATAACCCCGGATAACCCTGGATAACCTTGGATACCCTGGATAACCCTGGATAACCCCGGAGAGCTCCGGATGACCCCGGATGACCCCGGATGACCCCGCACTGCAAGAAAAAGTGTGGATAGTACAACAAAAGTACAACAAAAACTGTGCAATAAAAGTACAACAGGGATTGTAGAATGTACAACGAGAATTGTACAAACCACAACGAGCCCTGGACTGCACAGCATTCGTCATGCCGGTTCCATTGTACTTTGTACAACAATTGTTGTACTTGAAAAGTACACTAAATTCCTGATAAAAAAAATTGCCAGAAATTTGTGTACTTTTGTTGTGGTTATTTCCTGCAGTGCGGATAGCCCCGGATACCCCGGATACTCCCGGATAAACTTGCATTAAGCCTGGATGAACCCGGATTACAAAATGGACGTGCACCGGGTAACCCGAGTCGTTTCCCCCTCTCCATAGCGAAACGAAGTGCGAGCCTGGGCTTGTCGTTGCAGGTGCATCCACGAGTACCTGGACGTGTACTCGGAGGTGCAGAGCCCGGACCCCCGCAACCTCATCAACTCGGCGTTCGGCGGCCGCTACTGCGGGCCCATCCCGCCGCGCCGCCGGGTGTCCTTCCACCGCACCATCGCCCTCGGCTTCTACACCGACAAGACCAACTCCACCGCTGAGCTGTTCGCGGGCCGCTACACCTTCATCAACGACTGTGAGTGCCTAGTCCGAGGGCCGCCGTCGTCGCTCTGTCTGTCTCGCGCGTATGCGGGACGCCACACACAGTGGGCCAGAAGGCCAGTGGAGGCGGCCAAAACTCTAGACGCGTTTTGAGCTCCAGAGTCGCTAAACAGGACTCGAACCGAACGTATGACCCCACCAATGGATTGCTCTCCGAACGAGGAATCCATTGGTGGGGTCACACGTTCGGTTCGAGTCCCATTTAACGACTCTGGAGATCAAAACGCGTCTGGAGTTTTGGCCGCCTCCACCGGTCTTCTGGCCCACTGTGCCACATGAGTGCGAGGGAGACAGAGCGGTGGGGCGGGTCGCAACGCGCCGCGGAGTTTGCGCCCACGACTTTGTCTCGCTTTGTCTAAACTCGTTGTTGTTGTTGTTGTTGGCAGCCGTGTTCGAGGTGGGCACGCCGCAGCCCAATGCGCCCTGCAGCTACACTGTCCGCGCGTCCACTTCGCGCAACGGCAGCCTCGTGTCGCCCACCTACCCGGGGGCCTACCCCAAGGACCTGTACTGCTCCTACACGTTCCTCGGGATAGAGGGCCAGCGCGTCCGGCTCGAGTTCAGGGACTTCGACCTCTTCTACGGCGGCCCGCAGTGAGTACAGTCTCGAACCGCCCGCGGTCACAGTGGGCCAGACGGCCGGCGCAGGCGGCCAAAACCCTAGACGCGTTTTGAGTTCCAGAGTCGCCAAATGGGACTCGAACCGAACTTATGCCCTCACCTATGGACTGCTGTCCGGACGAGGAATCCATTGGTGGGGGTCACACGTTCGGTTCGAGTCCTGTTCAGCGACTCTGGAGCTCAAAACGCGCCCAGAGTTTTGGCCGCCTGCGCCGGTCTTCTGGCCAATCCACTGCACACTGCGGCGCCACGGCTGACTGTGCATGTTCCCTTTGCAGCTGCCCGTTCGACGTGGTCAAGGTGTACGACGGCCCCACCAACGAGTCGGCCGTCATCGGCACCTACTGCGGCCAGCAGCGCAACCTGGTGCTGTACTCGTCGGAGACGTCCTTGTTCGTGACGTTCACGACGCTGCAGCGCGCCGCCAACACGCAGAACAGGGGCTTCAAGGGCATGTACGAGTTCAGCGAGGGCTTTGTCAAGCTGGGTAAGCGGTGGCGCCAACAAAGGATAGCTTGTTTTAGACTGTCATCACAAGACCAAGCAACAAAAAGGAAATTACGTATACCCACCAACAAAAATAATAAGCTTCACTTGCATAAATAAGAAAACAAGTCGACCAAGTGCATCCTCATTCACTCACGGTTGGTTCCCGATAAGTTTTCCCGTCCGAAAATTTGTCCCTGTTTCTTATATTCCGCGTCGTAGAACTCACAGGCAATCGCTGCCTTGAAAAAAAAACACAGTGCTGAAAAAATGATGAAGAGGACAGCACTGCTGTTTAGTGACACTCCCATTGAGCCCCACACATGTTTTTTGGCGTCTAGTTTCGTCATGATCACACAGTTAGCCTCGTCTGCAGTCCGTCGCGGCCGCCGTGGGCGCCTGGACACATTCCCCTTCCCCCCTCCCCTTCCCCCGCACCAAACGCGTGCGCGCTAAACGCAAACAAAATCGAAACGCTAAACTGTCCAACTCTGTTCCAGATTTCATTTCGACAAACGACGGCGAACACATCCGGGGCTCTGAGTGCGATCAAAAGATCCTCAGCAAAAAAGAATCATCTGGTTTTGTGTTCAGTCCGAATTACCCCTTCCCTTACATGCCCAAGATCGTTTGCCGTTACTTCATCTACGGGATGCAAGACTCTCAGAACCTGGAAAGAGTTCGGCTTGACTTCATGATGTTTGAGATCACCAACAAGAACGAGTGAGTACCAACACCAACCCAAAATACCGATCCATTTTTGCCGCTCTAAAAACCCAGCTAAACCTCCGTGTTTTTTTGGTCGACCTGAAACATAATCAAACTAAAAGCTCTCGAAATAAACGCACTCTTTGACTTGAATAAATTCTAACTGTAACACTGCCGCTTATTTAAAACGAATGTTAAACTGAAGGCAAAGTTAAACGCTTTCCGCGACGCACCCGCCCTGACTCAATGCGTACACTGTGTAATCGACTTGCGAGTGGTTCGAGGAATCGCAAATGCAGAAGAGGACATGGGCTGCCTCGACCTTGTTGAGAGTACTAACGTCTGACGAAACCAGTTACAAACTAGTTTTGAGATCTAAGTGGTCTTGTCCATTGTTTCTCGGAGACGGCACGGGGACCGATGGGACGTCCTCTTCGCTGTCCCACTCCTCTCCCTTTGCATTGAGTCTTGTGGATTAGAGAGAGACGACAGCCGCGCCACGACAGAGAGTGAAGTAGAGTCTCCGCCGTGCCTGCCCACAGGACCTGCAGCGATGGCTACCTCAAGATCTACCTCAAGGGCCAGGAGGCCATGGACGCGTACGACAAGTTCGACCACGAGCTGTGCGGCGACGGCGAGAAGACCAACTTCACGGTGGGCACGGGGTCCATCACGGTGCCCCTGGGCGCCGCCTCGCTCACCTCGGACGGCCCTCGCCTGGTCATGGTGTTCAGCAGCGGCGAAATGCAGGGCCGCGGCTTCAAGGCCAAGTACACCTTTGAGACTGGTGCGTTGCGTCCCGCCCGTGGCACAGTGGATTTGCCAGAAGACCCGCGTCGGCGGCCAAAACTCCGGACGTTTGAGCTCCAGAGTCGCTTAAACAGGACTCGAACCGAACGTGTGACCCCACTAATGGATGCCTCGTTCGGAGAGCAATCCATTGGTGGGGTCGTACAATCGATTTGAGTCCTATTTAGCGGCTCTAGAGGTCAAAACGCGTCCGGGATTTTGACCGCCTCCACCGGTCTTCTTGCCCACTGTGCGTTGTCCACACTCACCGTTCACCGCTAATCGTCACTGAATTTTCCAGAGTACCGCATCCCGGGCACGGCGGCGCCGGACGGCACCTGCACGTTCACGTACCGAAGCTCGGGCAAGAAAAAAGGGGACTTCAACTCGCCGCGGTACCCGTCCAACTACCCGGCCGCCACCAACTGCACCTACATGTTCCTGCCCACGCCCAACGAGCAGGTGACCGTGGTGTTCGACCACTTCAAGGTGCGCGCCGACCAAGGCAACGCCACCACGGGGGCGTACGGCTCCGACGTGTGCCACGAGGACTGGCTCGAGATGTACAACCTGTACCACGACGGCACGGAGACGCTGATAGGCCGCTACTGCAGCACCACGGCGCCAGGACCAATCGACTCGAACCGCGGCGCCGTGGGGCTCAAGGTGCTCCTGCACTCGGACAACGAGGCCGTCTTCAGCGGCTTCAAGGCCCACTACTCCTTCGAGCCCGTCAAGCCCATCTACGGTAAGGCTGTCTCTCTCGCACCCAACGCTCCGTGAGTGCGAGAGAGACGGAACCAAACACACACACACGTTGCAGGTGCTTGCGGCGGCAACGTGAGCAAGGCCTTCGGCGTCATCCAGAGCCCCAACTACCCCGCCAACTACGACGGCCCCAAGGACGGCAACGCCAGCAAGACGTGCAACTGGTACCTCACCGTGCGGCTGCGGCACAAGATCCTCCTCAACTTCGAGTCCTTCGCCGTGGAGGGGGAGCCCTCGGGTAAGTCCTTTCGACGAAACCGCAAGCGCGGGAACAACAACAACAACAACAACAACAACAACAACAACAACAACAACAACAACAACAACAACAACAACACTCACCTTTTTCTCTTTCTCGTGCAGCCCGCGGATGCCCGGCCGCCGTGGTCCGGCTGTGGCTCGCGCCCGACGCCATGCCCATCGAGCTGTGCGGGGAGAAGGGCGCGGCGGACAAGTGGCAGTACGTCTCGGAAGGGCCGCTGCTACGCGTCAGGTGAGCGCGGTCGCGGGTTCAAGCACCCACTCGTTTTTTTTTTTTTTGTTCCTCACTGACGACGCTTTCCGCCCCGCAGTTTTGTGATAGCGGACAAGAGCGTGGGCGCGCAGGGCTTCCGCGGCGTGTTCACCGAGGTGGCCGAGCCGAGCGCGCAGTGCTCCCAGTTCACGTGCGAGAAGAGCGGCTTCTGCATCGCAGACAACCTCCGCTGCAACCAGGAACGGAACTGTGGAGCCGAGGACGACTCGGACGAGCTCAATTGTGAGTAGCACTGTCTGCCTCGCATGGGGCCAGAAGACCGGCGCAGGCGGCCAAAACTCGGGACGCGTTTTGAGCTCCAGAGTCGCTGAGTGGGGCTCGAACCGAACGAGTGACCCCACCAATGGATTCCTCGTTGGGAGAGCAATCCATTGGTGGGGTCGCACGTTCGGTTCGAGTCCCATTTAGTGACTCTGGAGCTCAAAACGCATCGGGAGTTTTGTCCGCCTGCGCCGCTCTTCTATGGACCACAGCGCCGTGGAGGGGTAGAGACTGACCGTTGCTGTTGGCAGGCCTGGTGGAGGCGCCCGTGGTGGACACGGTGCTGGTGCTGGTGGGGTGCGCGGGCGGCGCGCTCTTCCTGGCGGTGGCGTTCTGCGCCTGGTGCCACCACCGCAAGCGGCGGCGACGGCGCCGCCAGATGGCGCGTCTGCGACAGCGCCGCCACTTCCCGGAGAGCATCGCGGGCATCGGGCACGGCGGCAGCCTGTCACGCAGCCTGCCGCGCAGCCTGCCCGGCTCGCGCCGCCAGCACGCCTGCGACGAGCTGGGCCACCGCTTCGCCTCCGTCGACAGCGTCTGACGGTTAAGTCCCCCCCTGCCTCCCCCGCCACCCGCGCCGCCACCCCTGCCGCCTGGCCTTCGGTAGATGACCAGCCCCGCCTGGTCGCGACCTGATCCCCGGCTCATGACCACCGCCCTCTAGGCCCCCTGTGGGTTACCCGTGGGGCCCCACTGGGGGCTCTCCCGGGCCGCGTCTGCGGACGCGCGCCCTGGGCGTGGCGTGGCCCTGGCCGGGCCGGGTCGTGGCTGGCGACTTTGACGCGGGGTGGAGCGTGGCCGCTGTGGCCGCGGCGCGGTGTGGTGCCATGGTAGCACTGCCGAGGCACCAGCCACTGGTAGTCCTGGTACACTGGTAGTACACTGGTAGTACCATGGGGAGGAGGGGGGCCGGCCCCGTCTCTGGTCAAAGGGAGGCGCGGCGGCCGGACGAGCACCAAGTCTTCCGAGAAGCCTGTTGCCTATATCACACATTTGCATTGCTCAATCGTTCGTGCGGCCTTGAAAGCCGACTAGGAAAAATGTTATAAACATTATATTAATAGATGTGTTTTATAGTTGATATTTTACCACTCCTTCGGGGTGAGGTTCACCCCGCAAGGGTGGATAGTGCCAAGTCATGGCATGTTGTAGCTCTAAAACTTATAATATTGTTTCAATTGATGTCAGTATGATATACCATAATCCACGAACAGCGTAGTACGCCGCGGGTGCACACAATCGACAACTCTTTGTTGCTTCCGAAATAGGAGAGCATCGTGATCACCCAGCCGTTTTAGACACATATTAAAATTTAGTAGACTTAAAGGATGCTATTTCGTCGAGCAATACAACTGGAAAAAAATGGCCGATATGTTGGTGCTTTCTCTCTGTCAGCCGATCAAGTCTTTTTGTTTTCATTCGTTCCAACCAGTTACCTTGGACACTGCCTGACGTCCTTCGTCTGGATGATTCCCTAAAGCCTTCTGAGCAGTTTTAGACAATATTTTAATTCGGGTCAAAAGATAAATCTTGTTTGAACTCAATTCGTAAGTCTTCCGCGGGAGGGTTTACTTTTCTTTTCCACTTGTTGTTCGCACAAAGGCTTTCTTCCCATTATTATTGACTGAAAAGCTGGTGGATTGCATTGATATTATAAATATATATATTATATATTGAAATAAAGTGTATGCATTGTTTAAACTGGTTTAATATTTAGAAATACAATGGGATGATATGATTTCGAGGCAAGGACGTGTTCCTGCTGAAAGGGAGTGTGTGCTTCACACTTGGAATAAGGGCGCCATTCCAAAACTATTTCATTGTTATTTTGTGCGAAATGGCGGGGGATGTGCAAAATTTTGTTAGAGTCGGGTCCATGCCCGCAAGTCAGAGATCAGTTGAGGACGTTCACGGCTACTTGTTTCAGCCAGTTGTTGCCTTTTATGCTAGTGAGGTTATGTTTGGGGGTGTTGCCAAAGGCCGGAGTAGCGCGAGCACCGGAAGCCTCGGGGCTGCTGCCCCAGGCTCGGCCAGGCTCCGCTGCACCTCTTCCGGCGGGAACGGAAGCCAAGGGAGTGAGATTCCTAGGAGCAATGCTTTATCTCAAGTCCTGAATAGATAAGTGCTATTTTATTACTTGTATTATGCCGTTATTGACTGCAATGCCAAAACGTTGACAAATGAATTGAATGACCCTACTTAGCAGTTGAGCTTTTGGATGGTCCAAGAATTAGGCCCCTGTGTGGTTGTTTCGTTCTCTGTCGGGTTGTATATAATTACTAATTATTCCGGGTAAAGCCAAACGCCTAGACTAAAATAACCGTGCGACCGACATGGTTATTCCCCCGCCATAGGCACCCATGGTCAGGCCGTGGTGGTCATGGGTTCGAGCAGACAAGCGTGTCACTGTGACGTGGCCATGGTCATGGTTATTTTGGCCCGGGGAGTCGGCGAAGGCAATAAAGTGATCAGCACAAAGCAATCAATGGTAACGTATGGTGATTACTAAGTTAGAGCTCTGCATCAATCTCAATAGAGTCGAGGAATTTAATTGTTTCATTTTCATTAACTACTGTTATTAGTGTGTCTGACAGAGTGAAAAAGATGTCGTTGCCGAATCGTGTTGTAACAAGTTTACGTCATCTTTTGGATTTGTCGGGTTGCATCTGTGGCCATCGATAATTTGCTATATTTTTCGAGTCTGCCTGGAACTGTATTGACAATGTCATGGGTTTAGGGATCATTGTTTTGTCTGATCTGTCTCTTCTCCCACAAGCATCTAATGCTTGTGTATTCCCACCTGGAGCAATTGATCATTAGTAATAATTTAATATAAAATATTTGATATTCTAATGTGTGTCTGTGTGCGCAAATCAATGATTGTTGTGTTTACTTTACCCACTTTTTACCAAAGTGTTCGCGCGAGCCCGTCAGCCGTGTTGCGATTACAGACGTCGTCTGTATTCTATTTTTCCTCTCAAAAGATTTATATTTTTCTCTTCTTCTTTTTCAACTTTCGGCACCTTCCTCGCCCAAATTACGAATTACAGTGGACGGCTCGACGGGCCGCGCGACACAGGTTGTAATTTTGTGTTCTGTACTGATGCTCACGCCGCGGTCAAGTAGTAAAATAAGGACAAGCACTTGACATTGTTTATTCGCTACCCTTCCCACTACACTGAAAGCTGAGCTCAGCCGGGCGCTGCCAGAAATTAAACTCGTGGGTTCAACTCCCACCAGACTGCCTTTTTTTTTCGGGTGGGCTTCAGATCACCGCGCAGGGTCTAACAACAAGACAGTGGAGTACCATTTCGCTTTTTATTCGAGTCGATTCCACACAGTCCGTTTGTCAGTAATGATAGCCGGAGTCCGGAGAGAAGCTTTGGGCGGGGGGCACTCTGGACCCGAATTCCGGGGCGTCGGGGGTGGGGGAGGGGGTGGCTTCGGGGTCCGTGCTGTCTGGGAATGCGGCCTGGGCAGGGGTGGCGGGGGTCTCGCCGGCCTCGGACTCCTGGCCGGGCTGGGGCGCTGGGGCGAGGGCGCCCTGGCTGCTCTGGCTCTGGTACCCGTTGGAGGAGGGTCGCTGCTGCTGGTACCCGTTGAAGGGCCGCTGGGGGCCGCTGGGCAGGAACGTGGCGGTGGTCATCTTCGGCGGGGAGGTGGGGGCGGCTCCCTGGGGAGTGAAAGCGGTAGCCGGTCCCAGAGGAGCGAACGCAGGGGCGGCGGGGCTTTCGGGACTGAACGTGGAAGGTTCCTGGGGAGAGAAGGTAGCGGCAGGCCTTTGCGGGCTGAAGGCGGGAGCTGGTCTCTGCGGTGAGGTGGGGGCGAAACTAGGTGCACTCACCTGCGCACCAGTGGGGCTGTACGTCGGGGTAGTTTCCTGTTCCTGGGAAGTCGTGTACGTGGGGACTTGTCCTTGGGAGTTGTAGGTCGGGGCTTGTCCCTGAGAGGTGAAGGAGGGAGCTGGTCGCTGGGAGCTGTAGGTGGGAGTCGGCCGAGAGTATGTTGGTCGCTGAGGAGCGAACGTAGAGGCAGGTTCCTGAGGGGTGAACGTGGGGGCGGCAGGCCCCAGGGGAGCGAACGTGGGTGCAGGTCCCTGCGGCGCGCTCGGGGCGCTCACCTGAGCACCAGTGGGGGTGAATGTCGGGGTGGAGCCCTGTGGGGCGAAAGCTGGCGCACTGGGGGAGTAGCCGGGCCTGCCGCCTTGCTGGTACCCGTTCTGCGCGAATCCCTGAGGCTGGGGCCTCCCCTGGGGGCGTCCCTGCGGCCGGTACGTCGGCGAGGCCGCGGTGGTGTAGTACTTGTCGGCCTGGGGACTCGGGGTCACCTCGTTGTCCTGCGGCGCGCTGGGGCCCGCCTCGCCACTGGGACCGTCCTGGGGGGCGCCTCCATGCGCCTCGTCGACCGGGGCCTCGGCGCCGTCCTGGGGCTGCTCCGACTGCGCGTTGTCGATGACGGCCTGGATGGCGGCGGGGACGGGCGGCGGCGTGGGCAGGTGGTCGCCGACGGGGCGGAAGCCGTTCTCGTCCGCAGTGTAGGCCACCTGGTAGCGCACGCCGTCCGGCCCGGTGTACGCGTACATGCCTCGCACCGAGTTGAGCCCCTCCGCGCCGTCGTCCTTGAGCTCGCCCTGCTCGGAGAACTCGATGCCGTTCTCGGCCTCGTAGCTGTGGACCGCAGAGGTTGAGAACACCGCACCGCCTGCCCCGCCCACTCACCGCATTCGCCTACCTGTAAGTGAAGGTACCGTCGCCGGGGTTCTGGTTGACCATCTTGATGATGGCCACGGTCGGCTGCTGCACGCCTGCGGCGTCCTGGCCGCTGGACGGCGTGGTGTCCGGGGCCGTGCCGGCGCCGCTGGAGGGGATGTTGTTCGGGGGGTTGTTGGCGGCGACCTCGTCCGTCGGGTTGCTGCCCGAAGAGCCGTCCAGGCTGTTTTCACTCTCGGGGGCGGAGGCGGGGACGGCGGGGGCAGCGCTGGGGGCGAAGCCAGTGCTGGGTCCGGCGCTGATCGTCGGCCGCGAGTAGGGCGGCAGCAGACCCGCTCCGCCCCCGGCCTGCGCCGCCCCCGGGGGCGGCAGATAGTCCCTGTGCAGTTTGGCGGCTTGCGCGGCCGCAGCCGCGAGGAGTAGGACAACCACACACTGAAAAAAAAAAGCGGCATCGATGATTTTTGTTATCATCGCGGCGTCACACAATGTAGCAGCACACTGTTCACTGAGCACGGGGCACTTTTCACTTCGTTAGTTCGATAAGCAAATGGCACTCTGGCGCCAAGCGGGGCCCGGCGGGGCTCGGCGGGGCAGCCTTCCGACTTGCCCCGCTGGCGCCACGGCACTGAACACACTACTCAACACACTGTGCACTGAACGCAAGAGGAGGTCCTACCGACTTCATACTGCTTCACCTAGTGTCGCTGCGATTCCAAGTACGACTGCCATCGGCCAGGCCGCAACCGATTTTATATTCCGACACGGGTCCTCCCCCCTCCCCCTTCCCTCTCCCCCTCCCAGGGCGCGTGGCCCCGCGGCGGCATCGCCCGCCTGGCCTGCCCCCGGGGCCGTGGACGCACACGCACAGTGGGCCAGAAGACCGGTGGAGGTGGCCAAAACTCTAGATGAGTTTTCAGCCCCAGGGTCGCTAAAAAGGACAAGAAACGAACGTGTGACCCCACCTTTGGATTCCTCGTTCGAAGACCAATCCATTGGCGGGGTCACACGTTCGGTTCGAGTCCCTTTTAGCGACTCTGGAGCTCAAAACGCGTCTCGGGTTTTGGCCGCCTCCACCGGTCTTCTGGCCCACTGTGACACGCCGAACACATAGGGTCGAGTTCGCGAGTTCGGTTCCAAAGGACACCAATGACCCACAAGTGACGGATTTGAAGCTGCGATCATCAGCGTCACGTAGTCACGTGTGTGGAAAATACGGGAAAATCGCTTTGCCACGCAGCGAGCCGACAAAAAACGAATGCTTGGAAACAAATACGTTCCTCCGTGCTTCGCCTGTGCTCAACTTGGCACGCAACGTGACATTTTCACGAGAAAAGCACTCACTACGCATTACGCTCAATTTTGTTGCTGCGAGAGTGAACGTAACTAATATGGCCAACCTACAGTAGCGGCCAGTATACACTCTTGGCTATAGTGCACCCGGAGGTGCAGTGGTGGTGCATAAGGTTCAATCGTACCATCAACAACAACAACTGCAGAAACAACAACAACAATAACAACAACAGAGCCGCGTTGAGGATGCTGATGATTAATCATGTTCCCGTGCCGCTTGGCGCTGGGCGAGGACCCTCACTCCGCCCACTACTCGCTGCAAACTGCAAGGCCGGACGGAAGGCCTCGCTGCGACCGCAGCAGTAAAAGCATCCTCACTTTTTTCCCCCGCGTGTCTCCTTCTTTTTTCCTTTCCAGTGCCCGGACCTTTACCTTCCCGAAACGCGGACCGCACCGCGGCGCTTCGATCCCGACGACGCGACGGACGACCGACAGACAGTGGGCCAGAAGACCGGTGGAGGCGGCCGAAACTCTAGGCGCGTTTTGAGCTGCAGAGTCGCTGAATGGGACTCGAACCGAACGTGTGACCCCACCAATGGATTGCTCTCCGAACGAGGAATCCATTGGTGGGGTCACACGTTCGGTTCGAGGCCTGTTCAGCGACTCTGGAGCTCAAAACGCGTCTAGAGTTTTGGCCGCCTCCACCGGTCTTCTGGCCCACTGTGCGACGGACCGACAGACCGCACCGCCACCGCGACACCGGCGAGTGCCGTTCTGCCGTGTGTCTGGGCCGCGGTGCCGCGGTGCCGCGGTTTCGGCCGCAGACTCATTCATTCCGAGGAGTCGCTGTCTCTGTCGCACTCGCGGCCTCCTCGCTTCGTCCCGTCGGGGAGCGAGAGAGATAGAGCGGCGGACGCGCCATGCCGGAGGCACGCCTAAGGGCGCGAGCCACGCCCGCCTCGGAAGGGCAGTGCAGTGCACAAGTTCAAGTTGCGTGCGGCGAGGCCGGGCGAGGCGCCTGCGGGAAGGCGGGTAGGCAGTCCCGCACGACACCCCTGCTCGACGGGCCGGCTGCGCGGCAGGCGCTCGCGTCGCCCGGGCGCCACTGCAGCCACTGTCGCTCTCGCACTCATGGGGCGTCCCGTAGGGGTGCGAGAGAGACAGAGCGGCGATACGAAACCTCCTGCGGCAGTCTTGGACACACGGAAAAAACGGAACCTGGTTTTCCCAGGAAGCCAATGGGGAAGGTATGGGCCATTTCCAGGGAGTTCCTGGGAAAACCAGGAACCGTTTTTACCGTGCACTTTCATTTTTCCGTGTGTCGCCACGGCCGCCACGACCCACAGTGGGCCGAGGTGGACGCGTTTTGAGCTCCAGAGTCGCTGAACAGGACTCGAACCGAACGTGTGACCCCACCAATGGATTCCTCGTTGGGAGAGCAATCCATTGGTGGGGTCACACGTTCGGTTCGAGTCCCATTTAGCTACTCTGGAGCTCGAAACGCGTTCAGAGTTCTGTCCGCCTCCACCGGTCTTCTGGCCCACTGTGCGACGGCGTCCTCACTCTCGTCACTCGACCTCTCCGCTGCCGCCATGCTGCCGCCCACGCCCCGAGGCCCCCGAGGCTGGCCGCCCGGCGTGTTTGTTTGAGTAAAAAGGGCCGCGCGGTGGGCGACGCATGCCGACGCACGGCGACGCACGGCGACGCACGCGTAGCCTCGCGCAAGGTGCCGCGTGGGCAGGCCGCAAACAGCCAAATAATCCCAGGGTCGACTTCGGACCGCGATCCGCAGGAAGACAGAGTTAAAGGGACATTTTTCGGCAACTTTGGTGTTCGACGGACCCCACCTCCGCGCAACAATAATCGAGAAGTCGCTCTCATCGCCTGCGCGACAATGAGGTGTTGATCGCGCTCGGACAGCCACAGCCGTCATCAAACAGAACGCGACCCAGCAGGAACGAATCAGCTGCGCAAAGCGGCCCGCTGCAGAGATATGGTGGCGTGGGTTCTGGTAAATCCGCTCACACATTTCTCTCGCTGTCTGGTGCCTGCCTAGTTCCCTCAGCGGGACTTCCCTTTGTGCCTGTAATGGCTGTCTCCCGTGCCTTCGAATCCACCCACATGAAGCTCGTTTGATTTTGGAGTGAATCACACTTTTATTTATTCTTCCTTTCGGTTGCACACGTACTCAATTCGCTGTACTTTACTTGATTTTACTTAACGTACTGACCTATGTGTCTCATTGAAATTCTCATATTGACACCAAGTGAGTGACCTTACGGGGCGTGTAATTTCTCATAAGTCATAATTTCGAGGGGGAAGGGATACATAACCTTGTAACAAGCAGAAGAACACCTGTGACAGACGGAAACGTTTCTACGTTTGAACCTTATTTTTACTTTTGCCAATTTTCTCGAGCACCCGCAACATGCTGAAAGGACTGGTAAAGTGTCATTATTTCCGAAAGTAGAATGTAATGATGGGAATACGACTTACGTTGGTCGTGACATCCTGCTGCAGAGGTGTTTTCATTCCTTCTCAATACTTCATTATCTTGCTGATGAATGTTTTTCTCTCCGAGGCTCTTGGGCTAGCTTGTACTTGGTTGTCATTCCTAATTTTATTTAAACTTTCTCAACAGCTGACCTATTTTGTGGGGGTCTACACAGGCCTTTACCTTGCACAAACTTATGACGTAAGTTTTGCCTGCATTGTCATTTCTTTGATATTGTTTGACACTTAACATTTTATCCCTCATCAATATGTTATCACCAGTGTTATCATTATTGTTCCTCACATTGCAGGTGCCCAAAGTAGATGAACCTGAAAAGCTACTTCAAAGAATCAAGGACTTTGCAGACAGCCATAGAAAAGAATAAATTCATATCCTATTTTATTCACCCAAATCAATTTTTTATTTTCTCTTGATTTCAATGACGATTTTATTTAGCGTTTTCTTTTCAAGAAAGGGTCTGTTAACTTCTTGGATCCAACTGTCCAAGTGGTTCAATGTCATGATGTTCTTAATGTATTGTGCGCACGAATCACATTCTAATCGACTGTAAGTGATTCGTTTGCTTTGTAGGAGTGGCTGTGATTGTAAAGATTAGTACTTATGTTGCCTTAATCAGTTCAAATGCCTGTGGATTATAGGTCAGAATTAGTGTCAAAATGTTGTACCTTTTTTGCTCTCTTTGGTTATTTCACTTGTAAAAAATAATAGTCAAACTACAGGTTTTTTTATCTTGCCATTTAATGCTTCTTTAATTTAGTATAAATTTAAAACACATGTCTACAGGGAGTGCAAGAAAACATGTAAGAATTGTTTAATCTGTACCAAGAATCTTGTTTAAATGTAAATATATCAGTCAGATTTTTGGTTTTATTCAGAACAATGGATTGATTCAGTCAATTTTTTCACCACCTTATAAACTTCCACTATGTAGCTATGTACTAAGGAGTATGCATAGCCAATCAAACATTTAAACAACTCAAAAATTTACATTTTACCCACCATCTAGAATGTAATTACCAAAAGCAGGTGATATGGTCTGGAATGCTTACGAGACTGACAACTCCATTAAAAGAAACAGCACACAGGTTTGACAGGCCTTTCCAGCAGTTCATGCCAATCAGAGTTAACCCTCTAAATTACAAGTTTCACATTAATTTGACAACAAAATTGAAATGTATAAAATAGATGACAGGACAATTGAAGGAACAGTATGCAAGATGAAAACAAAATGAAAATTCCCTTATAATTAGAGTAAAGCTGTTATATTCCACTACATTAGATGAGAGACATGCCACCACCCGAATATTCTAGTCTTACTGGAGGGTCAATGAACGCCAACCAATCCGATGAGTGAGAAGGTAACAATCCCATTGATTGACATTTATATAAGGCCAAGAGCATACCAACAATGTTGCCAAGGAAGTACACAAATTTCTGCATGAATGCGTGGTGGCCTTCTATCATTTTAAAGGCTGCGAAGAAAGAAACATTACATCAATTGTACGCCATCTTTAGATTGAATGGATATTGCAATGTCCGGTTTACTTACTGCTCTGTAGAGTGAAGAGGGCTTTAATTGGACGGACTAGCAACATGCCAACCATCATTATAGGAAAAATAGAGATGGAGTTCCCCGCCATGTACATTATGAATAAATTCATTGGAACCTGGGCAAAGAACACAATAATGAGGGCAGGATCGTAATACGCCCAAAAGCAATTGACAATGGACACTAATGAAATAAAACTCGATATAATCTTGAACTAACTGCTGAATGCATAGTTGGAACCTTTACTCACCTGTTTCAATGGGGCTAGAGCAAGGTCCCATGCCTTCTTTATGATTAAATGGGATGGGTCATTCTCCTTCGATGTTTCAACACTAGATTGACTAACCGATGGGTTGAAGCCAGGTGGAGAGAGAACATCTTGATTTCCGGTTTTTCTAGAAACGAAAAGATAAATAAATCGAACTGTTAGTAATGACACAAAATACATTCGAATACAAATAAATCCCCTGCTGTTAGGTTAGCTGTTGCTCAGAGAGCAGCTACACTTGCAAATACACCCGAAATATTGACGGTAAAAGCCCACCTGACGGGAAAATCCAACCCCCACTTGTATTTTTTCGCACTTATGCGATTCGACGACATTTTGATTCAGTTCACTAAGTGTCGGTCACTCAGGAAATAAATAATCAAAAATTATTGAAACGTCAGTCACAGCGCAGCCGTCTTCCGTCTTTGTCGTCTGCATAAACGCACATTCACATTGACATGAGAAATTGCAGCCCGCTACCAACCAAACGATCCAAAAGGTAGCTGCAACTTAATTTCGTTCGTCAAAAATTTAATTTGTGATGAGAAAATCATTTTTCTTTAAAAAAAAGGACGACGTAAAAATTAGTTCCAAGCGCTTTTTTACATCGTATTCTTTTATGATGTCGTCTCACGTTTTGTTCAAAGTGTGGTACGATTGGCGACTAACTTTTTCATCCCCAGTGGTAGAATTTGTGCGTGTTGTTGTCTTTTGGTTTGCGTCGTCCGTGCGTTCCACAACATTTTGGCAGTTTGGGGCGCTGGATCCGATTTTGGAAGTGCTGCAAGTGCCCCCAGTCGTAGTCCGTCCACTCCACGCCCGCCGTCGGCCATCCAGCGGCCTGTCCACAGTGTGCGAGCGCCGCCAGCGGTCGCGCCGGGTGCCGACCTAACCTCACCTTCACAGTCCACAATGCCAAAGTACTACTGTGATTACTGTGACACCTACCTGACGCACGACTCCCCGTCCGTGCGCAAGACCCACTGCCAGGGCCGCAAGCACAAGGACAATGTCAAGTACTACTACCAGAAGTGGATGGAGGAGCAGGCCCAGAACCTGATCGACGCCACCACGGCAGCCTTCAAGGCGGGCAAGATCGCCTCCAACCCGTTCGCCCAGGGCAAGGGGGCGGCTGTGCCTCCTCCAGCCTCGCTGCAGCACCCGGGGCCTCACCCTCCTGGACCTCATGGACCCCCGCACGGACCCCCGCGGCCTGGCCCTCCCGGCGCGCCCCCACCGGGGCACCCTGGCGGCCCCCCGGGCATGATGCACCCCGGCATGCACCCCATGGGGCCCATGGGCCCGATGATGGGCCCGCAGGGTCCCATGATGGGGCCTCAGGGCCCTATGATGCGGCCGCCCATGGGACCAATGGGACCCATGATGGGGCCTATGGGACACATGATGGGACCGATGGGGCCCATGGGACCAATGAGAGCACCGCCCATCATCGCTGGACCAATGGGACCGCAGATCAAGAAGTAACCGGACCTCCTTCTGCTTACATCAGATGCCCCTCAAGGAGTACTGGATGAAACCAAGTCGTCATGAACTTCTTTTATGGACTGTGTGTTTGTGTTACGATTGTCAATTGTTGGACTTTGATCTTGGTTTGAATATGAGTTAATCGTGTGTTGCTGATGTTGGTCTGAAAGGAGATCAGAATGTGTTTTGCATGGCTGGGATAAAATTATATTTTGTTCTCTTCATTTTTAATCTAAGAACTTTCCTTATTCTTGAAATTGTTTGAATAAAATTTTCAATTCTTTATACTTGTACATATTGTAAAGTAGTAGACAATAAACAGATCTCTTTTTATATGCACTTGTTTCCTTTTTTTATCTCCTCAGCAGAATTTAAACCAACACATTAGAAAGCACTGCCATCGCATTACCCAAGGCACTCAGGGCCAAAGTGTCAAAGGATCCACAAACAAATACTAGGCGGCTTGGCATTTAAAAAATTTCGAAGTGCGCGCCATTGGCACGAGCTGATACGTGATTGGTCAGCAGTCTCCAAAATGGCCGCCTTGCCGGGAGCAGCAGGCTGCTGTTTCGTCGGCTGACCGAGGCGAGGGTGAGGTTAGCTGGACTTGTCAACTTCTTGTCGTCAGCCGACGAGCTGGACGTGAACCCCAAACAAACCTTATTTTCTCAACCTGAAAGACTCCTCCATCGATCCAAACTCCAGTATTCAGATCAGTATCTCTCTTTCCCAGTGTTTGGGAAACGGGGGAAATCCACTGAAGGATGGCAGCTGCAGCACCGTCCCTACAAATGCAGGTACGATTGCGATCTCGTTTAATCGGGTCCGTTTGTCCACTTTTGGTGCCCTGGGCCTTGACTTCTACCCCATTTGTGAGAGGTTTCTCCTCTGTTTCTTTTGGCTCATTATGTTTCGACTTCATATGGGCCGGTTTCTGTTAATAAACATCAAATCACGCAGTACATATCTGACCAGGGATCAGCTGTGGACCGTTGCATCAATAAATTTAACTAAATTGACACAAACCTCTAATTTACCATTTTTAAATCTGGCAAGCTACTCAGACCATGACAAATTGTAGGCTAGTTGTTCTCAGAAGGTTTTGCTAAATTAACGCAGAATTAATGAAATTAATCTAATATTTTTTTCTGTTTATGTTCTCAGCTGTGACTTCTACAATGGAAATTCCAATCTTTACATTTATCCTTACCCGTATTAAGTTACTCTTCTTCCATTTGATTGGCTACTTCAAAAGAGCACTCTGTTGCTTTAGCAGAAGAAGACGGGATTCAGGCGAACATGTTATGCTGACTGGAGTTGGAGTGATTCCATCATCATCCCCAGCCATGGTTTGTATCAGTTTTTAGCTGAGACGATCGTGATAAAGTTTCATCCCTTCATTATTTTTTGTATGGTTCTTTTAGGTTGAAGACACCTGGGCCCAGTGGGACAACACTAATGAACCGGAATGTGTGCTTACATACCAAGACCAGAAAAAACCTTGTGACATTCAAGAGCACATAGAGTTATACCGACAACAAACTATGGCTCTGGCTCGTCGGACATCAGAGGAAACTGTGGAACCAGAGGCCAATTACTTCCAGGCAAGTCTTGGCCCATTTGGTACCTTGTTCTGTGCATTGTAATCTCTTGTATTACTGAATTTTCTTTTCCTTTCAGGATATGACACCCACAATAACAAAGCAGAAAAAAATATTTGTGAATAGCCGTAAACAAAGAGAAAGTAATCAGCCAAGCTTATCGCTTGGTGTGCAGATTGGTCATGTTGAGGTAAGTGTTATGGGCAAATTTATTATTTTGTGCTAGTAAAATGAATTTCCTCTAAGTCTCAAAGTTGTTTGCAGGCTGGTGGTGAGTTAGGAGAATGGGTGGAAAATCCTGGCTGGGATGACGACTCTCAACTTGATGGCGATGAGACTGTGGATGCCTTAGTCCGTGAAAATCGAAGGCAAGAACGTGAAAGAAGACTCCTGGAACAGCAGCAGCGGCGCATGGAAAGGCATGGGCGGGCTGTTCCTCTTGGTGCTCGTATCAGTTAAAATTAAACTTAGTTCAGGCATCTCTTCTGAAGAAAGACATTTTTTTTAAATGTTTATTTTTGTTGTCTCCCCTCATTTTGTGGGTCTTTTTGTGATGATATTTTATCTGCAAGATACGCAGTTTTAATCATTGTTTATTTTATGGTAAGCTACGTGATATGTTTAGAAGTGTAGGATCTCTGTGTATTTTGATCAAGAAAACGAATGTTTGAAAACATTAATATTAACTGCGATGCTACTGATCGCTCAACTGTGAATGTCTTTAGCTTGTGTGAGTTTGGCTATGCTCAAGTTATATTTACATAAATATATATACATACTAGATTTACATTGTGTGTCAAAAGACAATGATTGATTTGCTTTTTGAATTTAAAGAGCATCTCACACCTACCATAAACATGAATTATATTGTCATTTTAGAAAAAGGAGAATTGTTTGTTGACGTGAATGTTTTTATTGATACCTGCTCGTCACTCTTCGCGCACCTCGTCGTCTGGCGCCTCTCTGCCGAACACCCCGCAGGCCTTTGGGCGCCTCTGCTCCGGGTCCAGGTCGGTGCCGTCGGGCTCGGCGTCGCTACAGTGGAGTGCATGGGTGCAAGGAGGGAAAACGGTGACCGAAAGGGGGGCAGTTCCAAGTGGGAGGCGCAGTCGTACCGGCGGGTGGTTTCTGCTGCTGTAGTCGGAGCAGCGTCGCCGTCGGGGTCCGGTGCGTCGTACACCCCGCAAGCCTTGGGGGCCTTGGGGCGTGGCGAGTCCCGATCGGTCTCCGTGCGCGTGGCGTCCAGGGGCCCCACGAAGCCGCTTTGAAACGGAGTGCGAGTTGAGAACGGCAACCCGAGAGGCTGACCAGTAGTCGGTCTCGTCGCTCTGTCTCTCTCGCACTCATGGGACGTCCCTTATAGGTGCGAGAGAGACAGAGCGACGAAAACGACTCTCGGAATGAGTCTGCTGGTAGTGGAAGGCGTAGTTGAAGGCGTACCCGTGGGTGGCTCCTGCCGCCGCCGCGGCGTGCAGTTCCTCCACCGCCGCCGAGCCGCCCTCGACTGCTGCAGCAGTGGCGGCAACGCTCCCCGTCCCGGACGCAGCCTGCACGCCCCCGAGGCCCTCCAGGCCCGCTGGCCCTGCAAGCGGCGCGCGGCGCTCTGCACTATCCCGAAGGGGGTGTAGGGCTCTAGCCCCTGTCAAACGAGGGGTAGGCCACCCGGCGCATGCATGGGTCGCGCGGACAGCCTATCCTCCGCACGGCAGGCGCTTCGGTTGCTCCACTTGAGAAGCCGGTGTTACCTGCCGCGCCGTGCTGCTGCTGCGTCGGGGTGGTCGGGGTCTGGCACCCCGAGTCCACGGCCAGCTCCACCGCGACGTCCGCCAGGTTGTGCGGGAAGCAGATGTCGCCCGGCGACAGCAAATGCTCCTCCCGGAGCGCCTCATCCATGTCGCCCTCGTCCGGCCCTACGTCGTGCTGTCCAGCCAAGCCTCCCTCCAGCCCTTCCTGCTGTCCAGCCACGCCTCCCTCCAGCCCTTCCTGCTGTCCAGCCAAGCCTCCCTCCAGCCCTTCCTGCTGTCCAGCCAAGCCTCCCTCCAGCCCTTCCTGCTGTCCAGCCAAGCCTCCCTCCAGCCCTTCCTGCTGTCCAGCCAAGCCTCCCTCCATTTCTTCCTGCTGCCCGCTCAACTGTTCGAGCCCTATGCTCTGCCCGGCTAATCCTTGCCCTTCCCGTCCTACGTCCTGTGTAGCAACCTCGGTACCCTTTCCTTCCGACCGTAAGTTCTGTCCTTCCAGCCCTGCGCCCTGTCCATCTAACCTTCTCCCCTGTCCTTCCTGCCCTCCAGTCTGTTCGCTCAAGCCATTCTCTAGCTCTTTTTCAAGTTCCCGCGGCCGTCGGTCGAGGTCCTGCCTGCTCCTCCGCGCGTCTTCGTCACACTGCTGGACGGCGTCCTGGGGCGCGTTGGTGGCGGCGGCCGCTGGGTCGCGTCCAGGACGGCGGCCTGCGTGGTGCTCGCCGTGCTCGCCCTTGGCAACAGGTCCGTTTAGCTCGCGTTGGGAAGCCGAAACACACTCGCGCTTTTTGTTTTCAGTTTGATTCCTTGCCGGGTGGCCAATGTCGACGGGATAAAACAAGAAGGCCGCCGCCGTGGAGGCGTTGGCCGAGTAGGCCTAGAAAGTGGCGGCGCTTTGCCCTACGGGGAGGGCTGTCCTGGGGCCACCGCTCCCACCTCGCTGCCGGAGCGCCGGCCTCGGCTCTTCTTGGACGCCGCGGAGAGTCGCGAGGCGCTGCCGGCGGGGGCGGTGGGTTCGGCCAGCTGGACGCCGGAGGGGTCCACGCGGAGCTGCATCATCTTCTCGGTGATGACCTCGAGGATGTCGGCCAGGTTCACCACGTCGGGGTCCAGGTGGGAGAACAGCGTGGGGAGCGGCTGGGGGTGGGGGAGAGAAAGGCGTGGCTTGCAGTGGCGTAGACCGATTCCCTACTCTACCTTCGCGCTCTCGCACCTCGTCCTTGGCGTCGTCGTGCAGCTGGGGCGTGCGCGGCCTGGCCTCCGGCCCCGCGCCCTGCCCCAGCCCGTCGTCCGGCCCCAGCGGCCCCATCACCTCCTGCACCACGTCGCGGTAGCGACCCAGCTCCTCCCACAAGTGCGTCTGCGCCGCGCGGCCGCGCAGCGACGCCTGCAGCAGCACGGCAGCGCGCAGCATCACTTCCTCGGGGGCGCGGGAGAAGAGGTGGCGGGTGTCGACGCCGAGCTGGAGGCAGGGGTCGACGAGGGCGTCAGGACTGGTCCTTGGGAACCGCCACCACCACAACCACCAGCACCAACCGGCTGGGCGACGGCGACGCGCGCTCGCCGCCGGGTGAGCGGCACGAAGGCGGCCGCCTCCTGGGCGGACTTGAGCCTCATGGCCTTGAAGAGGGCGTGCACGTCGCGGAGGTTGTCCTCGCCCCACTTGGTGAGGTAGTCGCACAGGCGGACGCCGCCCTCGGGCAGCACGCGGCCCGTCTGCGCCAGCGAGGGGTTCCACAGCTCCTGCACGCGCGGCGCGCACAGCGGCACGCCACTGCTGAAGCTCGGCCGGGTGCGGCGACTCCGAATCTTGGGGCAGGTGGCGCTGGCCTTGGCGGCCCGGCAGCCCTTCAGCTTGCGCAGTCCTGGACGACGAGGCCGTCACCGCCAAGGTCGCCACCGCATGCACGGCCCAACCCAGCACCACCCTACTTCTCTCCTTGTCGCGCTGCAGGGCGTCGAGGCGGCGCGCGGTGCCGCGGCTGCGGGTCGCCCAGTTCTCCTCCAGCCGCCGCTCCAGCCGGTCCTGGAGGGCGTCGAGCCGCGCCTCCGCCAGGGCCACCGCGGCCTCCAAGCGCGGCTCCGCCGACGCGTCCACCTCCTGCGCGCCCGAAACACTCACAACGATGGTCAACATCGGCACGGCCGCGTGCCGCGTTCGTCGGCGAGCTTACCGCGGACCTGAAGGCGAGGGCGTCCTCGACGACGGCCTCCAGGACGTCCTGCCGGTCCCTGGGCGACAGCGCGGGCACCAGGGCCTGCCACGCGGCGTGCACATCGCTGCGCTCGGCGCGCTCCTCAGTGTAGGCCCACGTGCGGAAAGGGACGCCTAGTGCGTCAGAGTGAGTGAGCGCGTGTGCGAGACCCACGCCGCACAGTGGGCCAGAAGACCGGTGGAGGCGGTCAAAACGGTCAAAACCCCGGACACGTTTTGAGCTCCGGAGTCGCTAAATGGGACTCGAACCGAATGTGTGACCACACCAATGGATTGCTCTCCGAACGAGGAATCCATTGGTGGGGTCACACGTTCGGTTCGAGTCCTGTTTACCGACTCTGGAGCTCAAAACGCGTCTAGAGCTTTGTCCGCCTGCGCCGGTCTTCTGGCCCACTGTGCGCCACTGATCGGGTATTTGATTTGCACTTGCCTGGAATGGCGGACGGGCGGACCACGCCGGGGAAGGAGACCTTCCTCGAGAACTCGAAGCAGGGGCCTGTGAGGAGGTCCGCGGAGAGACCCGTCATCGTGGCGGTCTTCTAGGCGAGGGCGAGCTCCCAGAGCGCGGCAGTGCTCGTGGTCTCCGCGGCAACCTGACTGCAGGACTGGCGTCTGGTTGTTGCCGTGTAGTGCTCTTCACAGATGGCCAGGCCGTGGCTGGGGACATCAAAACGACGTCTTGTTTTGGAGACAAAATCAAAATCCGAGGCGAACTGGGAATGTTACCAGGGCACGTGCTCAGCGCTAAACGCGCCCTGCTTCAAATTTCAAATCAGGCGCCTTGCGGAAACGTCGATCGATATATCGGTGCCAGCGATAGTATCGAAGGTAGACAGCCAGACAGCTGCAGACAGACAGCCAGACAGCCAGGCAGCGCAGCAGATGACTGTAATTGCAGCTGGTTTATAGTTGAAAACACACGGTAGTTCCACAGCTTGTGGCGTTCAACGTTTCATTAGCTCTCCAATTTGACAAGTCCCTTCGCGTCTTTCTATCAGCTTCTTGTCAGAAAGGTTTGTTCGTTTTTATTCTTGCCTGTGTTCGCATGTGTTCATGACTATAACCTATCAGCATACGGTGGTTTCTTTCATTTAATTTTTGAAACAAGAAGCACTAATATAAACGCCATAGGCCAATGTGATTTTTTTCGATATCAACTCGGTTTTTACAGTAATTTGCGATTTTTGACAGTTGCTCCCTGATTCTTAAAATATTCAATGACTCCCTTTGTTTCTAACTGCAACTCATCACTTTTATTCCATTCATTGTGTCTGGCAGTATTTGCCCTTGTAACTATTTATTTCCTTGTATCTGATTTCTTGCTACCAAAATAATAACAATGCCACCAAAACAAAGTAACCTGTTCTCATGTTCTGTGTAACTCATGAAAATTTGTATTTTTAAACAGTTCTTCTGTCTTTGTTACTAGAAAAGAAACTTCTAACACCATGGCCAAGAAAAATAACCGTCAACAGGACCCCAATGATTCATCTGATTCTGGGGACACAAATGCAGCCTCCACAGGTAATCTAAGTTTCAATAGATAATGCTTTTGTCTTAAAAATTCTATAGCATTGTTTCAACGTGTTTATCTCTTTTTGCCATTTTTAGCTCCTTCAAGTGCTTGCAAGCACATAGCCAAAGCAGTCCAACTAGGTGCAGTAAAGAAGAAACTCAAATGCGGCAATCGGACTACTTGTGATGCATGTGCCAAGAAGACGAAACAAGCCAATATAGTGGTTAGTATTGACTATGTGACTTAAACTTCCGTTATAATTGTATCCTCTAATATTGCTGCTGAAACATGTATCCAGTATAAGTGCACCAATCTTAAAAAATTACCTTCACCTTGCAGCCCGACGTTTCTTCAAGTAATGAGGAAGAGGTGACAGATGAAAATTGGACTTACTGGATGTGTTTGACATGTGCGCACATAGGTTGCGGGCGGGGCCAGCTAAAGCATGCTATTGCACATTATAAAACCCCCCGATCAGACAAACATGATTTGGTTGTGGACATTGAGACATGGATTGTATGGTGCGTATTTGCTTAGAATTTACTTCATTCATAGATCTGACATATAGAGCCCTTCCTCTTTGTTAAGAGTATCTTGATTACAATCACATGATTTTATGTTTGCTAGGTGCTATTCTTGTGAGCAAAAGATGGCTATGAACTCAACGAAAAAACTTCAGGAGTGTGTAGAATATATACGCCGACATATGCAGTCAGCTTCAAAATCCATGCGTAAGTTGTAGAGGAAGTTTCTGTGATCTGTTTGGAGTTCTCAAAATTGCACTCAAAATAATAAAATTGTAATTGTTTCATTTTATCAGCTGTTGTATCAGAGGACATGGCTCAGAGCCAATCATCCTTGACTATGTCAGTAGTCCCTTCTTCAGATAAGGATGATACCAGTGTGAATCAAAAGTCAACTCAATTTCATTCTCAAGCTAGGAAAATTTCCATCACCAACAAAGATTTGGCAAAGCCAAGTAAAGTTAGAGTGAGTTCACACCTGCTTTTATCTTTCTTCGTCATGTTTTCATTTTAAGTATATTGTAAGTTTTTGACTTGACTCAAAATTTTAATGCCTTTTATTCTTTCTATTTACAGGGTCTAATGAATTTGGGAAACACTTGCTTTTACAATTCAGTACTTCAGTGTCTAAGTGTAACTCCGTACTTGACAAAGGTTTTGGAGAGATTGACTTGTAGCGGTGAGGTCTTCACCCTACCCGGAAATACAAAGCCAGAAGACTTTGAGGTAGATGTCATAAACATTCAAACAAGCATGAATCTTAATTTTTCAAAATACATGTTAATTAAATTAATCCCTCGTCTTCCTCTTTTTCTAATTGATTCTGAATCTTTTATTGCAGGCCCCTTCAGTCCATGGGTCACTGGGGGAGTCTGGTCCACTGAGTGGTGCTCTCTTATCAACTTTGTTAGAAATGAGGCACCCTGATTTGCATGCAGACACCTTGAGACCTCAAAAGTTACTCAAGCAAGTACAGGATGCTTTCCCTCAGTTTCGAGGAAATGATCAACATGATGCTCATGAACTTCTACGCCATCTTCTGGAAGGTGTGCGATCTGATGACCTTAAGGTATGGTCCATATATTTCATCTCAAAATTTTCTAAGCATTTTCATTAAAAGATAATTCCTTAACAACTTTTCAACAAAATTATTTCAGCGCTTTCAGCGTGTGATTCTGGAACAACATGGCCTTTTAAGGCGCAAAAATGATGAGGTTGCATCTGATTTGAAAAAGAGAATGAAGTTGTATGGTCAGCAACTTCAAGATCTTACCTTGGGTGTGGAAGGAATTTTTAAAGGGCAGCTAGTGAGCATAGTTGAATGCCAAGATTGCAAACACCATTCTATCCGCTTCGAAAGCTTTCTTGATTTGAGCCTACCTGTTATGGAAGACAAAGTAAGCCATAAATCTCCATATGTGTGTTCATTACCATTTAGTCAAAGGGCACTTTCTTTATCAATGCCTTTCTCTGATGTTTTAGCCCTTGCCACCCATGCGGAAGAAGGAGCCAGTTGAAACATTTGCTGGAGATGAGGGTCTTACTAAATACCAGATAAGAAAACGACAAAAGATGGAAAAGAAGGCGCAAAAGCAGAAGCGGAGAGAGAAGATGGACGGATGCGTCACCATTGCTGAGGAACCTGCCAAGGGCTCTGACGGACCAGAGTCTGGTAAGATGAACCCCAGGCTTGTTCAGTTTGTGCTTTATTTGTTGTCGCAGTCAACTTGACATGACCCCTCCTCTTTTTTGAACCAGCTGAAGAAAGCGATGCTGACGTCGAGGACAACGCGGAGCAGGATGCCACGGAGAACACGAAGGAGGTGGTGGAGTCCGGCTACAGCTCGGACAAGCAGAACACCGGCGAGTCGGACGGCACGAGTCCGTCCATCGGGGCTGCCGGCGCCGAGGCCGCGGAGGAGGCCGTGGAGGACTCCGGGGTTGCCGCGGGCCCCGAGCAGGAGCCGATGTTCGGCCCAGCCGCCGCCCCGGCCTCCCCCGGCGTGTCGGCCTCGCTCACGGCCTCCGGCTCGCCGTCCCCGACCGCCTCGGCGTCGCCGTCGCCCTGCGTGGCCGAGGCCGAGTCGCCCACCGCGCCGGTGTCCTCCGGGGGGCCGACCTCGCCCTCGCCCGCTGCACTGCAAGCCGCCGTGGCGGCGCCCACCGAGGGCTGGTCCTCCTTCCACACCCCGGAGCACGGCCTGGAGCACGGCCTGGAGCACGGCCTGGAGCACGGCCTGGAGCACGGCCTGGAGCACGGCCTGGAGCACGGCCTCCAGCACGGCCTCCAGCACGGCCTCCAGCACGGCGGGCAGCCCCAGCCGCGCTGCTTCACCCCGGACGAGGAGCTGAGGATCACGATCCCGGAGAGCGGGGAGGGCTCCATCCACATCTCCCCCGTCCAGCCCGTCCAGCCGTGCGACCGGGACAGGCCTGTCTCCCGGCGAGGCTTCTTCCCGGGTGACACTCGCCGCTCGGGCGTCGGCGGGGACTTCGAGAGCGGCAGCGGAGTCGCGCCGGACTTCACGCCCGAGCTGGAGAACAGACTGCTGTCCTTGTGTCTCAACTCCAGCAGAGTGGTGAACGAAGAGGGGGACGAGAGTGGCAACAATGACTGCGATGAAATAGACTCCAAGAAGAGTGTGGCGGATGCCGATGAAACTAGGAGGAAAATCGATGAATGGTACGAAGGACAGAAACCTGCAGACCCAGTCGAAGATGTGATTTGTAATAATAATGAGAGAAATAATCATTTGAAAGGAGAATTTTTAGAAGAGGCTAAACCATCCAAGTGCAAGACAAATCTAGTTGTTACTGATAGACCTACGCAGCGGTCTGCCTCTGGAGATACAGTAGACAATAAAATTGACTGGTGTAAAACTCTAGCATCAAGGCAACAGACTGAGGAAGGTGAATGTTCTGTGATTTCCTGTCTCAATCAATTCACATCTGTAGAGCTGATGACTGGCAATAATAAAGTTGGATGCGATGCTTGTACTCTACGCCAAAATAAAGGTATGTTACTGCTCAATTTACCTGTCACAACAGCTTGGATTCTGTTCTTTAATGTTACATTTTTTCAAATGTTTTAGGTGCGGAGGGGAAAACAGTTTATAAAAATTCTACTAAAATGTTCCTCATCAGTTCCCCACCTCCGGTGCTTATTCTTCACCTGAAACGCTTCATGATGGAAAATTACAGGTTTAAGAAACTTCAGCGTTTTGTTAGTTTTCCTCTTGAGCTGGATATAGCACCATTCTGTTCTACAAAATGCAGGGTGAGCGTCTGTTTAATTCATGTATTTTTTAAACATCATTATGGTATATGTGGTTTTAACAGTTTTCATTTTTCCCAGGATTCACCTGCATTTCAAGATACTCAAACTGAAATAAAATATTCCTTGTTTGGAATTGTGGAACATACTGGATCCCTCAATACTGGTCATTACATAGCCTACATAAAGGTAAATCTTACTGGTATTGCAAAGAATTAACACCTTCATTTTTTGTTTGTCAGCATACAATAACTTCTGTTAATTGTGATTTCAGGTCCGAGCTAACCTTGGTGAAAAGGACCCCAGGTGGTCCTACCTACCTATGGCCCGAGAGTTTGTCTATCCTAAAGTGGATTCGAGCGATAATCTATCAAATGGTAGCCAAATGGAAGAGAAGTGGTACTCCATAAGTGACTCTAGAGTAGTTGAAATTGCAGAATCCAAAGTTTTAAAAATTCAGGCCTACTTACTGTTCTATGAAAGAGTGATGTGAAACCTGGTGTGAGGTGAATACACATACTCTCTTGCTGTCTAAAAAAAAGTGAATGAAGACTTAATAGCAAAGACTAAAAGGCTTAATGTTCCAGATTCTAATAAGATTCTGACTAAAGTTTATTTGCTCAAAGGATTTAGACCACCCTCTGACATGACATTTACTACTGTACCTTCATTCCAATTTTGTAACTTCAGGTGGATAAGATACACACAGTTTGTGGCTTTTCTTAAAAAATGGATTCAGGAAATAAATGACAACTGCCACTGATTTATATTTATTGTTCTGTATCTCAAAATCTACTGACCTTGTCTCTTCCAATATTGTAATGAATCTATTTTCTGGGTTGTCATATCTGTGATATTCTGGCAGTTCTTTGTAACTCTTGTACCATTTTTAATTGTATAATTATTGCATGTAATAGTTATTATTATTGAATCACCTTATGAATTGGGGGCACATTCCAATCATGAGGAAAGTTGTTTTTTTCCCTTCAGATTTTTATCAAGTATTGTCCAATACTGTTCAGATTGTGATAGTGCTTTGAATCTGCATATCTGTGCTCGCTTGGTTCGGTTTTTTTTTATTTATTTATTGTTTTTGGTTTATCTTCAAGATTACCTATGAATTGTTCGAGATGGTCATGTATGGATTAGAGGATCTAGTCAAGCAACCCTGTGCTGATTTCTGTTTCCTGTTGTGTGATTTTGGGAATGTTTTTAATCTTATAAAATATACTGTACCTTATTTGGCATGTCTTGCTTAGAAACCTATGAATGCATCCTGCTATTCCTATTGATTTTGTACTTTTTATTCATTCACATTTTCTTTGTTGGAATGAAAATAAATAAAATGTCACAAGAGTTCTTTTCTTTATTTGCCCAAGGAGGATCCTAGGGAGAGGGGAGAGGGATCGCATACCTCGGGGCGTTTAGATGTTGCCAAACCGTGGTTTCATCGTGACATCGTGTTCATGGTTGACTCGACGAACACCCCCTTTCTCTAAAGAGCCTTTACCCCCCCCCGCCCCCTCACGACCCTCCCGCGGCAACGCGGCGCACCGTTAACGTTAAAGTGCCTCCGTGCCGCACGCTTAATTTTTCATAGCCGGCCCAGATTCACAAAGGACGGTTTTTGAACTCCGGGACCTCTCCAAGTTTGGAAACAAGCGGCAGCCCTCCGCGCCTTGCTGCGCCTTGCTCCGCCTTGCCAGCCCTCTGCGCGCTTTTGCACGCTTTGCGATGCCGGTGGAACTTCTCTCGAGAACAAACAGGCGGGAAAATCAAAATCGGGCGGGCCTTGGCGCCTTTGGCCGCCTTTGGCGTCCACGGCGCTGCGAGCGTCCGTGTCCATCGCGAGATTGCTCGTGGAGGCGGAGTTTGCCTCGCGAAGGGCACGAGCACGAGCCGGCCGGGTGGACTAGGAATGACCTCGTCGATACTCCACGCGCCGAGAGCACTGGAAAAGTCCCTCGCGCAAGGGAGTATCACCGGTGCCGCTGCCACCACTGATAGTATACATTCGTCTGACTTCCCCTCTGTTGCCCCCTCCCCCGCCAGACCCGCATACCGGACAAACTCCTGGGTCCTGGCCTGCCAGAAAGTCACCCCTGCCCTGCCGCCCCGCCGCCCTGCCCCCCTTTCTCTCGCGTGCCGGCGTGCCGATGCGCTGCGTGCCGCGCTGCGGCAAGAGGTACACGCGTGCTTTGAGGCGGCGTGCGGCGTGCGGCGTGCCCGGCCATGGAAAGGGGGGGGGGGGCTGCCTTCTGATCTGCCCCTTGCCAAAGTAATTCCACGTGGCGCCGCGGTGCTGAAAGGCTGCAAAGTGGGCCGCTGGAGGTTCCCAGGGCGTTCCAGGGGCATCCAAGGGCAGGAGCGGGGCGGGGCGGGGATGGGGGAGGGGAGCAGTTTAAGAAGGGACGCCGCACGAGAGGGCAGGGCAGGGCACGGCACGGCACAGCTCGGCACGCAGCCTTGATGCTGCCTTTGAAAGGCAATAAAGGGCCATGTACAACGTAAGGCGCAACACGGCCATTGTGCGGGGCTTCAAGTATCACGTCACGCCGAGGTAGAGGGGTGGGGGTGGGTGGGTGTGTGTGTGTGTGAGAGAGAGAGAGAGAGAGAGAGAGAGAGAGAGAGAGAGAGAGAGAGAGAGAGAGAGAGAGAGAGAGAGAGAGAGAGCTGTGTTGGCGCGGCGCGGCACGCACCTGCCGGAGGCCCTGGACGTCCTGGGCCAGTCCTGGAGCCAAGTGGCCCGTCACTACTGTGCCTGGTTCGCCTGGACAGTGCCGGGGCAGTGCCAGGGCATTGTCGCCCACGAGGGGCGGGTAGACATGTGCGCCGCGCCGCCGCTGCGCCGCCGCCGACAAATTTTACCACGCCGCCGCCGCTGACCCAAAATTTGCGGCGCGCCGCCGCGCCGCCGCCGATGATTTTACCGGCGGCGGCGTCGGCGTCGCGACCTTAAATGCCCAAAATATTTGCATTTCCATCAGCAGCGAGCGCCCAGGGATAGGCAACCCGACGAGCACGTTCTCCGCCGCGAGAACAAAATCTTATTGGAGTGTTTAAATTGCTTAATTTTTACCTTCGTAACGAAACTAGTCCACCCTAAAGAACTAGTCCATCAAATTGTGTTTTCTTTTCATGGGCATGTTTTTAAATTGAGAAAATAGACCAAATTTAAGTTAACCACGCCGCCCGCGCCGCCGCCGCCGCCGCCGATCAAGACATCGGCGCAGACGCCGGCGTCGCCGCCGCCGCCGGCTAAATTTCGGCCAAACGCCACCGCCGATGAAAATGCGGTCGGCGCACATGTCTAGGGGCGGGGCCGCGTGTCCGTCTTGCCCGAGAACGTCATCGTCGTCGCGCAGGTGATGCCCGTCGTCCGTCCGCCCACGGCCTTGCCCACGGCGGCGCTCGGTGGCTGCCGCCCGTTTGATTGACCTCCCCTCCCCGCCCCCCACGCGTTTGCCTCGAGGCCGTCCCCCACTCCCCATAAACCTAACCAAGTGTAGCCTCCGATTGGGAAGCAATTCGCCGACAATATCCGTTTTCGCTGCGGGTCCTGCGGGTCCCGAACGGGAGCGGCGCGGCGGCGCGGCGGCCGGGGGGACGCCACTGGCGGGACTGGTGGGGTGGGGCGGGGCGGGGCGGGGCGGGGCGGGGCGGGGTAGCTGCCAGTCCCCTGGACGACGTCCAGGACATACACTGCCCCAGGGCGCCGTGCCACGCCGTGCGACCGGGCCGGCCGGGGCCGCACGTGTATTACAACTGTCTCACTCCAACGGGGACGACGACGACGACGCGGCGGCCCTTGGGGCGGATCAAGTTGTCGTGGAGGGTGGAGGGGAGGGGGGGGGGGGCCTGGGTCGCCAAGGCCTGTTTAACCGTGACCAGGCGTCGCGCGCACCAAACGTCGTGGCCAGTCCCTGGGGGAGGAAGAGGAAGTTGACGATGGTGCGTCCCTCGGTTTTCATCAAGGGCCTATCACAGTGGGCCAGAAGCAGAAGACAGGCGCCGGCGGTCAAAACTCTAGATGCGTTTTGAGCTGTAGAGTCGCTGAACAGGGCTTGAACAGAACGTGTGACCCCATCAATGGATTCCTCGTTCGGAGAGCAATCCATTGGTGGGGTCACACGTTCGGTTCGAGTCCCATTTAGCGACTCTGGAGCTCAAACGCGTCCGGGATTTTGACCGCCTCCACCGGTCTTCTGGCCCACTGTGCCTATCGCAGGTTCCACCTCGGTTGCAATGAAGAGAACGCGCAGGTCGAACACAGAGAAATGAAAGTCGTCTCCCAACTACCCCCGTCCAGCCGGCCTAGTTCATCTTCGAGCTGCAACCTATCTGCCTAATCGAGAAGGTCTCCTTTCCTTTCCTCTCCTCTCCTCTACTCCGCGCCACCAAGTCCGCCAAGTCCGCCAAAGTTCGCCCAGTCCGCCAAGTACACCAAGTCCGCCAAAGTTCGCCAAGTACGCCAAGCACGCCAAGTCCGCCAAAGTTCGCCCAGTACGCCAAGTACGCCAAGTCCGCCAAGTCCGCCGAGGGGCGAGGAGTCTAGCTGCTCGGGCCGCCACCACTTGTGTGCGCTGAGCTCGGCTCGGCTCCGCTCTGCTCCGTTAGCGTCAGATTGAGCGTCCCGTTGCGTCCCGTTAGGTTCCGTTAGGTTCCGTTACGGTTTGTCACGGCCCACTTGGCTTCGTGCGTAGAGCTGCTGGCGCCGTGTGTGTGTGTGTGTGGGGGGGGGGGAATCCCCCAGCGATTGACTGCGCGCGTTCGGCCCGGACTTTCTGGATGCAGGATAGCAGTGACGCTCCCCCAGCCCAGCGCCCCCTCCCCCTTTCACAGCCCACTCCCCCCTCCCTCCCCGTTGCACTTGCAGCGGCACCAAACCACAGGCGTGCCCCTCCCCCTCCCCGCCCCGCCCGCAAACCGTCGGAATTTGCGAGGTTTCGTCCGATTCCTCGCGGTCGCCGTGTTCCCGGGGAGTTATGGGGCTGTATCGACTGCCCCTCCCCCCGAACGGGCGGTATGGTGGAGGCAGCGCTGCGTGCCGTCCGGGCCTGGTTGGTCCTGGTTAGTCCAGTCGCACTCCGAACGCAGCCATGCAAGGGATGGGCCTTCAGCTTGAGCCCGAATACCGCCGGTGTGTGCGCAGTCTGCGCCGCGCAGTGGGCCAGAAGACCGGTGCAGGCGGTCAAAATCCGCCGGACGCGTTTTGAGCTTCAGAGTCACTTGATTGGACAGGAAGCGAACGTGTGACCCCACCAGTGGATTGCTCTCCGAACGGGGAATCGATTGGTAGGGTCGCGGTTCGAGTCGCATTTAGTGATTCTGGAGCTGATAACGGGTGTAGAGTTTTGGCCGCCTCCACCGGTCTTCTGGCCCACTGTGCACCCCGAGGCACACGCTCGTGCGAGGAGAAGGTCACTTCGGACAGTCTCGCCCTGTCTCTCTCGCACTGCTGCGGGGCGAGCCACGCGCGCGAGAGAGACAGAGCGACGAACGCGCCGCTTTGCGCCGCGACCGCAGGGATGAGCGAGAAAGCCGCCGCGGAAATTCAGTTTGCCAACTTTTTCCTCCCGTATGCATGACTTGGATAACTAACCGCGACGCTCACGAAGCTTGCGAAGCTTGCGAAGCTCGGGAATCGCCGCCTCTGCCTCCACGGCCACGCCCAGCGAAGCCCAGCGAAGCCCAGCGAATCGCAGCGAAGCCCAGCGAAGCCCAAAGTGCTGCACCCCAACGGCGTGCACCCCCCCTGGGTCCGCGGCGTCCTCGGGGGAGTCGGTCCGAGTCGGTCAGTTCTGGCCAGAACCGGATAGCACACCCGCATTTCGTATCAGACGACGGGTGGGTTTGCTTCGCGTCTGTCACGGCCTGATAGACTGATGGACACCCTACACGTGTAGTCACAGAGACCACAGACCAGTGTGCGAGCCACACACACACACACACACACACACAGAGAGAGAGAGAGAGAGAGAGAGAGACAGAGAGAGAGAGAGAGAGAGAGAGAGACCTACACACACACACTCACACACACGGCATCGTACAGCACAAACGGGCTGCCGGAGGTGGGAACGCCCGGCATACGATCATGTGTGGTCTAGCCCTTAATGGTAATGGTAATGGCGGGTAGGCAGCCCCCATGCCGCAGTGCACGCCCGTCCGGCGGGCGGCCTACCCTCGCTCCCGCAGGCGGCCGGGCGCGGCCGGGCGGCAAGCGCAAGACGGAGGGTGCAGCAGACTGATTCCGAGAGTCGTTTCCGTCGCTCTGTCTCTCTCGCACCTGTACGGGACGCCCCATTGAGCGCGAGCGAGACAGAGCGACGAAAGCGACTCTCGGAATCAGTCTGCTG